ATAATTTGTACCTTAGCTCCAAAGTATATATAATCAGGATTGGTCTCCATATTTTTCTTTCCGTCTCTTGAAGTGGAATTATTCAGCTCACATTTCCTTGCGTCTCTGTTAAAGTTGTAACTGACGCAGTTTGGTTCCATGTAGCACAAAGTCCGACAGGATCTTTCCCCGGTGACGTCAACAATACGAATCACGTGATTTTTGAGGCGCTTTCCATTAACAGTGTGGTAGAACTGTAGCTGGCGACAGGTGCCTGAAAGGAACGAAAATTAATGAGTACTGATCTGAGACAAGACCTACTGTAAATATAAGGAGAGATTTCTCCAGGTTTTATTCAATCTACAACGTACTGTTTCAGCTTTTAACCAATCTCAAAATAACCCCTAGCAAGAAACCACTCAAAGGAAATTTTGCTCAGTCGCAACTAAACAACCTAATGTCAAACAGGAAATTTAACTTCAAAGAGAAAAACAACCAATATCGCGAGTTTTGCCACAGCACTCCAAGTTGCATGCCAGCAATATCAAAAAGGATTCCACTGCCAATTTTTAACTGATAACTGGCCACAAATTTGAGACTAGCTAAACTTTGAATGGTAATTAAGGATAAAAAGATAGCGACTTTTAACTGGGAGTACTATCATTGGAGTTCCCTCTTATTTTTATTACGCCTTTTTTTGGCTTCTGTATAAGGCGTTTTTATTTGTCGGTCTATGTCAGTGTTGTTGGCCTCTTCCAACAACTATATTTTTTATGGCTGTAAATACGCATTGTTTGAGTTTAAATATCGACTGACTCAATTCTCCATTGATTGTGACCCATTCCAGGTCAGGACTGAATCGAGCGAAAGCAAATAGCATTACACGCTGGTCACCGACCTGAAACTGATCTTATTCCAAAACACTCATTTATATCCCTTATAAAACCCTTCCCGATTCAGAAGGGCTTCTTCGTTTCTCATATTTATCTCAACTTCCTCGTAAATCCTTAAGCTCAGTAAGTATAAGCGTGATTCATATGTGGTTGATATCCTTTGAAGAAAACTCAGGAGACCAAAATTGCCATCACTTCAATGACTCGAAAATGAACAACGTTCCGAATAAACACTATGAGCACTATAAACCACAATTTTTTTTTTCCATGTGTCTGCACAAGCATTCAGGAGTTGAATATGTTTCCCTAAATACATCGGATTTGACTAAAGACACATTTTTAATACTGTTTAATAGTTATAACAGCGTAGCACACGAGAGCCAACATTTTAAATAAGTTCTTCAAACGTAGGTATAATAAAATGACCTTGTTTGTTAACCTTTTTACGTCTGTAAAGAATTGGTATAAAATCATTTATAAGACTTAAACCGGCCCATCCTAAGCATTCTAAGCTGGCTTTAACATGTCTTTAGTGTATTGTTTAATGCAGGCTAGAACGTAATATAGGGAAGTAAATATAAATATTTAAATATATTATTTTAGTAAAAACCTGTCCTGTCACCTTTACTTTGAAACCTTTCACAACAGGTTAAGCCAACAGATTAGTGAATATAAAAAAGTGATAAATCAGCAATTTACTTAGTGGCAATTTGTTTTTCTATCGCTTTAAACAAGCTACTCTTAGCTGCTTAAATTGTCCCAAGTTTCTTAATGAGAGTCAGGGAACCATCAGATAGGTCTGACAAAACTAACCTCCACTTGGACTGCAAAATTGCCCGTGAACCGGACAGAACAACTTGATTGTAAACCATAAGAAGCAAAGAAAGAACATAACGAAAAAATGAAAACACTTTCGTGTGGAAGCTTGATAGAACTGTGCACAACTCGAAACAGCTCCTGTTATTACATCAACCTGCTGAGTGGGTCTTTAAACAAATTATTTACCAATGGGAGTTGCCTCTCAGGTTTTGACCAATCAGCTCACACCTACAGCTCCAGGAGTAAAAGCGGAAAAAATGAATCATGAATAACGGGTTTAAAATGAAAATGAATAATGAATAAATTACTTGCAGTTAGAAAATTTGACATTTTGATTGCCAACGGGAATAATCAATTGCTGTTTAACGCACCCGTTGATGCGGTTCCATCAAAATACTTTTACCTTTGTCACCCGGCGGCCATCAGTTGCCCCAAGAGATTTAAAAAGCTTTGTTTATGCACGGTTAGCCTCGTTCTCTCTAACAGAACGAGGACTTACAAAGCTATTAAAATCTCCTGAGACAAAATTGCTGCCGCGTGACAAAGGTCTATACATTTCAATTAACCACTTTAAAAACGACAGGGAAACAAACTGGACAGAGTTAACTTTCGCAAAGACTTCTGGGTCTGTTACCATAGGGACAGGGGAAAAAAATTGGCCAATAGCTGACAGTGGCGTCTCCAGTACGATCCCAGAAACAACTGCGGGATGCGTTTCGGCCTCAGTTCTCTTCTCGTTTCTAAAGCGCCGTATGAACACTTGCATAGGTCAATTAGTAAATACACGTACTTCTCTCCCCCAAAAGCAGAATGTGTAGTGTCCTTGTACTTATTTCTACGGTGTAAGGATGTGTAGTTCTCTTTCCGTCTGAAACTTTATAAAGAATGGACCATGGGGTAGAGAAAAAAGTGGCTTGGGATCTGGGGGAAAATTCGTGAACGATATTTTGTTTCATGGGGCCGTATATTAACTAGGCCCACAGAAGAGCACACACTTTTGCCAAGCTCAAACTGAACAAGCGTTTTTGTTACCATTATAATCGCGGCATCATCATAAACAGCATCTGATCGTCATTATTACACAACCGGTTACTTCGGGGTTCAAGGCAAATGCCTGGCCCCCAGGGCAGCACAAAATTTGCTAATGCCCGACCCCCGGGACTAACAAGGCAGCTAGGCAAATGCTCCGCAGTAGCCCGGGGGGGGGGGGCACAGCTGGAATTAAGAGATGCATTAAAAGGCAAAACCACAGAAACAATTGCGGGATGCATTTCGGCCTCAGTTCTCTTCTCGTTTCTAAAGTGCCGTATAAAAACTGACGTAGGTCGATTAGTAAAAACATTTACAAAGCAGAATGTACATGTGTCTAAGGCGTAAGGATGTTGTACTTGTGAAGTTCTCTTTCCGTTCTGAAACTTTGTAAAGAATGAGCCATAGAGTAAAGGAATAGGCGGCTAAGGATCTAGAGGGTTAATTCGTGAGTGATATTTGTTTCATGGGGTCTTATATTGGGTCCAAAGAGGAGCACACACTAGTGCCAAGCTTAAACTGAACTAGCGTTATTGTTACCATTACAATCGTCATCACAATCATCACCCTAATCATCGTCGTCATGATTGCACAACAGGTTGCCACAACCCCGGCACTTACTAGGCAGGCAAATGCCCCGCAGTATCCTGAGGGGGATGGACGCAGCTGGAATTGACTGACACATTATAAAGGCAAAACCACAGCAACAAACTAGTTAGATCAGCCGAATCTTGAGTAGACCTGGAACATTGAAATCTCCAATGCTAAATCATAAAAACAGTAAACTGAACCCCACAGAAGGAAAAGTGCGAGAGAAAACAAAAATAGAGGGGCTTTCATCTTATATTTGTACTCGTTTTGTTTTAGTCCCCGTTGAAGGTTTGTGTTGCAAACCGAAATATCCGGCAAATATAATTCACCGTTCGATTTTGTTTCGATTTTTGTTTCCTTTGCTTATATATCTTTCTCTCACTCTTCCTTCCGCAAGGATCCAGTTTACTGTTTTATCTGATATGTTACTATAGCGATACTCACGCTGACGTCACCTATTGATATTAATGCGCCAACAAGAGACCCATTGGTTCTTGTAACAAAAGATTCTTTTGTTTCACTCGTTACAAATTTGAATAAGAAAAGCAATGTCTGCACGGTGGCTAATCGTACCGACATGAAAAAGTATTGGGCACAGTATGAACTGGAACCTAACCAGAAAGGTTGGTTGAGAGGGTTTGGTGTAATGAAAAATAATACTCACTTCTGAATACACCGTCTCAGTAAGTTCCAGTCCTTGCTCCGACTCATTTACCTACGCTACGGGCCGAATACCTGTTCACAGAGACGAAGAGGTGGCAGAAGCTAATGTCCGTTCAAGGTCCAGGGCTTTATACGGTGTTCACTTAATACAGGTAGGTTTCACTGAATTGCATGCATATGGTCAACCCGGCGTTAATGCATGGGCGAAGTGTTTGCTGCAAGGGGACGAGCTGTATTTGTTTGTTTTTTTGTTTGGTCTTCAGGAGAGGAATTGTTCAGAGTTCATGGATACAGCTTTTTGAACTGAACTAGTGGATAAAACAGGACAAAGCAGTTGAATATTGGTGGGCTTCCTCCAGCTTTCGTTGGCGTTTTCGGCCATTTTTGTAACTATAGTTTTATTTGATCACTACATACTACATTATCTCAAAATTTTCGGAGCTTAGGGTCTCAGTCTCAGGTATCGAATTTTGAAACCAGAGTCTCGAAGTCTCGCAAAGTCTTGAATGCACCATTCTATACCTCTCCACTGCTGCAGTTGCCTTACTCACCACGATGATGAATGTTAACGAAGGACAACAGCAACGAACTGCAGAGTAATTTTCAGAGACTTTTATCCATTTTTTCAACTTTTATATCAGAACTATACCCCATACAAACGCTGTAAATTTACAGTATTCGTTATACTGACCTTGAGCAGCCCGGCAGTGTGCGTAACTCGAAAGCGATGGAAATAAACGGGTTCTCGAGTGTTTTAGTATTACACGCGATATGCTACAAATGAATCCACTGTTCAAGGCCGTAAAGATTTTTTGTTAATGTTTCCAGTCCAATACGGCTCTAGTTTTCCCCGTTCGCAGTTATGTAAAACAGCATTGTTTAGTTCACAAATCTACAAGTACTAGAAAACATAAGCTTGTACTGAAGTTTTAAAATACTTTTTATTCACCACTTCTTATAAGCTACTACTGGCTTTAACGTTAGTAACTATGCAAACTGCAACTCATAGAGATGCACTGTCAGATCGCCTGCTATATACACACACAGAATGTGATCGTAATAAAAGAAGAAGTTCAACAAATTTTCTACCGTGGTGTTTTCTTGTCACTGCACTAAGATGTATCCGACGGCCTTGATGTGCTTGTCTCTGTTATCAGCCTGCTGTATATAATTATAGAGTGTGATCGTGATGCAAGAAAAACTTCAACAAGTTTTCTTCCGTGGTGTTTTCTTGTCACTGCACCAAGATGTAGCCCATAGCCTTGATGTGCTTGCTACCATTATCACCCCCGGGCCTAGCTTCGTTTCCACATGTGTTGTTGTTGTCAGGTTTTCCTCCAGTACCAAACCCAATTCTGGAGTCACAAAGATTGCAGTCGTCTTCATTGTTACCAAGTATACCGATTCTTGCTTTAGATAGGTTAGGATTACCACTAACAGCATTGAACCCTTCCTTGTTACAGTTGTGCTGCAAGGAGGCCTCAGAACCAATCAGTGACTTCCACTTGTCACGACCCAGTGAGGTGTTGCGGTATTGCCCATCAGCGATCAATGAAAACAGGGAACTGGCGCTCTCAGTGATTTCAATAAAATTGATCTGGTTGTTGATCTTCATACCGAGGCAGATCTTGGAGAAGGATGTGTTCCAGTAGGTGGGAAGCTTCGTTTCATGGTCGTCAAACCCAGTCTTCCCTCCAAAAAGGTTAAAGGTTTCCTTGTTGCTCCAAAAGGCGTTATCGTAGTGAAACGTAGCCTGTAATAGAAAAAATGGAAGAAAAAGAGCAATTGTAATTTTTTAAAAAAGAAAAGGTCGTAGGTTTCAATTACAAACGACAGCGGTGTCCTCGTTTTTTCAGAATTAATTCAAAATAAGTCTCAGCAATTAAGCGTTTTGAATGGTCAACAAATAATTAGTGATAAAAAACAAATACCGCATTCATTTACAATTAATATAATTGAAAACTGTTACATAATTATCCTTAACCCTTAGCTTGCTTAACCCCCGTGACCCTTAATAATTTGTATGAAAATCTTTTTGGTAATTTTTCCTATGCTTCATTTGGATTGAATTGTAACCTTTGTTTTGTAAAATAGATGAAAGAAAATTTTTCTTTAAGACCTAAATATTTAGTGATGCTCCAATTGCCAACTGATCACTTTGTACTTCATCCTTTTTATCAACTGCCAGTTTTAGCTGGCACGCCATCAAAAATAAGTCCAGAATTTGGGAAATATGCAAGGGCTATCGCCAAGATTCAGATCGATGCATGTAACTGCTGGTATTCTGACCAGCGGGCTTACCCCCTTGTTTATTAGGAGCATACGCACGGGGCCTCGGCATTGGCGGGCACGAGGCCACCATGAAATAACCTGAAGTTTCACTAAGATTTTCTTCACGTTTCCCAAGTGTTTTCTAAGTCGTTTGTTTCAGCTTTTCTTTCTCGGGCTATGGATTTCTAACGGATATGTGTGATGACACTTGTGAGTTGATTCAGCCTCGTGTATGATTAAACGTTTTGTTGTTGTTTTCATCGTCACGGATATCATGTGCCGCTATTCGCTGCTACAGTGCAATTTTTCATCTTCGAGATATTAGGAGAAATGTCGGTGTCCATCTGAGAGGCACCAACATGGCGGCCGGATGCCGGATGTCCCTGAGTTTTGTTATGAAAACAGGAAATGGAACTCATAAACATTAAAGTTATACTTTTTCTAATACAGGGACTGTTCAGATAGCAAAATCCCCCCCCCCCCTCCCCAAAAAAATCGATTTGTCACCTACATGACAGCTTCCTCGACTGCTATGTAAATGTCGCGTCATCACATAAAAGCTTAAAAATTCAAGCGTAATCTATCACTCAAAGAAGAACCCTTCCAAAGGGAGAGTTTGTAAAAATATAAGTTTTTAGCTGCCCTAACACTTCATTAAAGTGAAAACTAAAAAGGTTAGTTTGAATTTTGATGACATCATGTGAAAAACTTCAAATTGCTCAAACGTGGCATTTAAGACCGCGGGGAACACCCGCAATTCATTAATACATCCATGAGGAAAGTTTTGTTTCTGCAACATCTTTTAAAACGCTTATATCCAGCCTGTTTTAGAGGCAATTTAGATAATCTTTAACAGAGACATTAAAGAATGATGGAAGTTTAGGAGGGTGGTTTTTTTTTTGACGATCGCGTTTTACGGCAATGCTTTAAGCCACATTTAGGCTTAGGCCAAACGTCGAACTTTTCTTGAGAAGAACCAAACTTAGCAAGTTAAGTTCATGAAAAGTTCGACGATCGTCCCTACACGTACGTTCTATACTTCAGAAGGATAGAACGTCTGAAGATCGTCTCCAGGACAAACGTCGATCTTCACATGCGACGAACTAAACTAAACTGATTTGTACGATAATGTATATATCAGAGGCTCGTTCCGGAGGATACTTATTACTGATCTGATTCCGCTGATTGGTTCGACGCGTCCTAAGTTCAACGTCTGACCCAACAGACGATCTTAATTTAATTTACGTATCCAAGTTTGTGGATCGAATAGAAGACAGCACTCTCTGATTTAATAAATAAAGGATTGATCCAACCCTCCAGTGCGTCATGACAAAAGTGGATTCTCTATGTCACGCGTGCACACGTGAACACCTTAAATCAAGTGCGCATATTATATTCAAGTCATGATTATCTCGTGAACTTGTCAATGTCAGTCGTTGTACGTCGTGCATTCTCGTTAAATAAATGCATAACAATGGGCATTAGGTGCCCCCCGAAACCTTAAAAGCCTCAGGGGTAGGCTCCGCTTTGAGGTATAACCTCTAACTCTTTTACAAACCATTTTTGACAGGGCAGGTGCCTTTCGTATACCTTCTATTGGCAAATGGCACCCCTTTCATATGCCTAGTTCTTTACATTCCTTTTGAATGCTGTAAACGCACCTTGTTCTAAACATGATTGCATTACAAAACCAGACAGTTCTCTCCTTTTTTTTGCCACAGACATGAAATGCATTTGTTAGCTCTCTTTGTTCCTTTTACACCAAATAGCAGATTTCCCTACCCTTTCATATACCTCAACTAGCGATAACCAGAAGCCTAAAAAAGGGTACATGTACCTCTCTAGCTAGTGATTCACGTGGTACAAAACCACCATGCTGTAGAGCAAGAGAAACACTGGGACAAGAAAAAGCAAAAAGACTGAATTAGTTATTCATAATTTCAAATGGTTGGCCAGCATGGCAGTTTCATACCACGTCATGAGCGTGAATGACTAGCTGCAATGGTTTGATTGTGCCATTATATATTACGCGCCAAGAATCAGTGAACCGGAACCAGGAAGAAAAGTTGTCTTCAATGGTATGGATAATGAAAACGGCATGAAATACAACTTGCATAATTCAGTTGCGGTGCATTATTTTTAAATGACAGAGCGGTTGCCGCCTATTCCTTCTTGAAAATCAATAAAACATTTAACATTTTTCTAATATTTAGTCCACCAATCAAAGTGCGTCATAACCAAAGAAGGATATGACGCACATTATGTGAAATAAACAGTGACATCATCGTAACCAAATAAGGACATGATCCCTACAGGTTAATTATTGCTCAAAAGTAACTAGGAAAGTAAGAAAACCTTCCAAACCAGTTTAAAATCAATTATGACCATACATAACAAACCTAAAACCTGTCAAACCGGTTTAACAATCAAAAAATAACTCTTGACGCTATCTTAATGAGATTCCTCCGCATTTCTCTCACGAGATAAAGACATTTAAAGGCTCTGACGGCGCTTATCATCGGTGCTTATGTTTTCTGCGCAAACTAATAAGAGTCCTGGGCAAAAAAGGCGTAAAACATCCTTGCTATACTACTTAACACATGGGCACCAAGCCTTCGATCTTCATCTGCGAAACTGTGTTCATTCCTACATCATCGGTCTTTCCCAGTCTTAGCGAGGCAAGAAGGACGGATAATTACTGCTACTGACCTAGATATACCGTGTACTACGGTGGTCTAAATAAAATACTCAAGTCCTTCGTTCAGATTACAATGTTATTATACACTGTTATTATGGGCAATGTTGGAACAGCGTATACCTTGTTTCCATCAATCTTCATAGCCAGAGTCCATCCACCAACTCCACAAGCGTCAGTTTCCATAGTGGACATGTTGCAATAAATATCCAAAATATCATCTCCCAAAATCAGTGGGTAAGCTTTGCTTTCATTTGATCTACAAGGAACAAAATAACTTAATAAGGGAGATCCTAGGACAAAAATATACAGTTGAGCACAATTGATCGCTAGTAATGATCGGCTAGTGGTTACCTGGTGATCAGCCTCCTAACCGCCGTCCTAGTGACTCATCACGCAACCCTTTAATTGCGTGACGAGCCAAAGACTAGCTGGAGGACTAAAACGGCTCACAACGATCCTTGTCGAGGGGAGAGCAAGATTGCGAAAGGTCGAAGTTAAAAACCGCTTTTCTGACTTCTTTAGTGAAGGCCTCCAGCTTAAATGCAAACTCTGTCCATAATATCATCAGTAAGCAATGCCTAAAAAAGTGAAGACTACGCAAAAGCAATTAAGCCAAGTTCGTGGCGCGAAAGAAATGTATAGACACAAATTAAAGTAGAAGACAATGAAAACCTAGCTAATAATGAATATAACGCAATGGTGTCGACAACACTGACCAGATGATCTTGCTCAAACTTAATTTTATCTTATTGTTGGTTTTCACATGACGTCACTAAAGTTCAAACTGTAAAACAAGCGATCTTACTGAGACTTTACTTTCATGACGTATTAGAGCAGCTATAAACTAATATTCATACAAACTTTTGTTTCGAAAGGATTTTTGGTTTTGTGGTAGAGTACACACTGTATGCTTGAATTTAGAAGCTTTTGTTTGACGAGGCATTTACATGACGGCCGAGAGACAGGGGCACCCAACGGGAAATTTTGAGAAAAAGACCTTAAAACAACAACAAAGCATGAATAAAGGTTTCTGAGGCCATTTAAAGCATTTTGGGAGATTGCTGGGGAAAATTTATCTGTTCCTCACTCCCAGCAAGACTAATGCAAGAGTTCTCAGCCATCAAGGTTCACATACAACCTGCAACCTGACTTACTCGGAAGTTTCCCAACAGACGTATGTCCAGACATTAGAGACTGGTTTGGGTGTGGTCCTAGGGAAAATTCGGACCTTCAGTGGGGAGGGGGGGTTAGAAAAAAGGGTGTCGCCCAAGGGCGAAATTCACCCCTTTAGTCGGGAAAGGGGGTTGGGAGGGAGAGAAAAGGTTAACATCATAGCAGCAGGAGCCTATCACCCTGATGGCAGCTATTCTAGACATCAAATCCCCTTCAGACACTGATTTGTCTTTTTTCCCAGCGACACTTTCCTTCCAAGGACATATTATTTCCTCCACATCTCCCAGCCAGCAGAAATTTGCCGAACTGATCGATTGGATGCCCCTGGAGAGAGCTGTCATGTGACTTATTTCGGGCTATTGTGCTATCGGAACAGTTCATGCCAAAAGTATTACTATAATGTTTATGAGTTCCTCGAGAATTAAATGCACGCTTTCGTAGCAAAACTCAGTGACAGATGTTTCTATTGCTTTCCGGCCGCCATGTTGGTGCCAATCCGTATGGGCACCAACATGACGTCTCCATACAAAGCTCTATAAATTTGGGTAAAACATTTCTCCTGATATCTCGCATATGAAATATCGCTCTGACTTGAATCTTGGCGAGGATCTTTGCATATTTACCTCCTTTCATTTCCAAGATTCTGGACTTTATCTGCTGTATGTAACGGTTTTGACTTTTAATTCGATCTATTTTTGTTGGAGTGACACTGAAACCGGGCAATATGTATCTTTTGTCTGTATGTGATCATACCCAGCGTAGTCAACCAAGTGCCCTTTTCAGGATTGTGTTTGTTGCTTTTTTGTTCCCACTCAGTGTAGAATACCTGTGGTCATCAGAATGGGCTTCTCAAATATTTTTAGTAGCGCTTCTAGCTTACGTGCGGAGGTGGTGTGTATTTTGTTTAACAACAATCATGAAACAATTTGTTGATTCTGAAGGAAGATTTATTCCAGTAGATTTGAAAATAGACAATAAGATCGAATAGCCACGGGGAAAATTTATGCGCTGAACAGTGTCATTCTTAATTTTTTTTTTTCCTTTAAGACTGTTAAATAACACCCTCCTCCATGGGGTAGTGACAATTTTAACTATCGTCTATTCAGCATGTGCTGTACAGTTTTTCTCACACCGATACCAAGCCACATTACAATGCAAACAAGGGCCTATTTACGGCAGAAGCCTAAAAATCAGAAACTATTACAAATGTGATAACAGAAATTGGTAGTCAAAGGAAGAAAGAAGAAAAAAGAAGGCTGTAGAAAAACGGAAGAAAAATGGTGTCCCATCTTTTTGTCATGGGGGGCGATGGATATAGACGGTGAATATGATCCTGCCGGACTATATGGCGTCTATTAAGCTGAGGAAGTTGATTTGGAAACGCTTGCCAATTTTTACAACCCTAGCTATAAATAAGCCAGTAAAGCTTACCTGAATTAATGTTCAACTACTTTCAAGGAGCACCTGAGGTAGCAGTTTACGGAGAGTTTTTATGCAAATTAATTTGCCAAGAATGACATAATCAGCTGTAATGCCCTTTGTTATTTCCATATAATATAGTTTTCCATACTTGAAAATTTGGTACTTGAAATTGTTGTTGAAAATTAGGGAGATATCACACCCATCGTTTCAATGAATAATTTAGATACCTTCCCCACTCTCTTGGTGTATTGCTGCACTCTGCCTTTCCAACGTCCTTCTGTTCCGCAATTCCCCCCTTATAATTACCGCACAGTCCCCGAAACAAAACGTTTGTGATTTTAATGGACTAAAAATTGAACTTGTACTTTTACTCACATTTTCTTGTTGTAAAGGTCTTTACACGATGAAACTGTGTTACAAAATAAAAGAAGGACAGTAATAAATAGAGTTGTTTATAACCGTGCGCGTTATTATATTTTCCATGCTGAAATGATAGGCAGTTCCGTGCGCTTTAATGTAGATTTTGAATAAATCATGCAGTATACAATAATTCAAGGGGAAAAAGTTATTCTTCCCAATCAAAAATGGCAACCAGTGTCCACAGCGACGGGAATATTTAGCAATTACATAATTATATACAATAAATCGAATCGACGGAATATTGCTCGCATCTTCCAACCGGTAAGCGCGCCAGTTGGTTATGAAGAAGGGGGGCCAATCATCAGAAACGGCGAAATACTTTTGAATGAATAAAAATAAATGTTGGTATTCTCATATGAACTCTATGAATATTCACGCGCGGTTTGTGAAGTTCTTGATCATTACTTTCGTCACTTTTTTAAGGATTCTTTTACCAGTTTAAAAATAAAACCTTAAAACTCTTGTAATGGCATGCTTTTTCAACCATCTGTTGCTTAAGACCTAGACAGTATAGACTTTAGTTACTGTCTTCAGTCAGACAGGCCAATACATTGTGTTTTTTGCCAGGACTGGCAATGCATGGTATTGTCTGTTTACGTAATTTCTCTAGGACCTAGCAAGTCGATACAAAGCCTGCTAACCCACCTGGTTCACAATTCTTTCCATCTCCATAATATCCCTGATGACAAGTGCAGTTGTATCCTCCCTTGGTATTATTGCAGTAAGCATTTGCACTACAGTTGTGAGTATTTTTTGCGCATTCGTCTATGTCGGTAAAAGAAAGTTTATATAGTCAGTATGATGGTTGTATTAATGGGGAGAAACTCGGGAGAAATGCATGATTGGCGGAGGAAAATCCTAAGTACTTCAGTACTGCAGAAAACAAGAGGACGAATGACTCAAAATCAGGTTGTTGAAAGCAGCTACAGGCCCTTGCCAAGTTTTTTTGGAAAAAATTATCAAGTGGTTTCAAAATTAACATGAAATTTGTGGGAGTAGACTAAATTACTCACAAAAATGGTATCAAAAGCAGCTGAACGTAAGCTAATCAAATTCTTCTTTCTCGTAATCGGTCAAAGCAATTCGCCTTTTTTTTCGTACACAGTTTCAACTGAAATCATACCACTATGAGATGAAACTGCATTTTCCGAGTTCACCTTTTCTTTAGATATTAGCGAGTTATGTTGATGGCATGTTTATTGACTGTCTATGACCCTTTAAATTTCATTCCGAAATATTTCCAAAACGCTCTCATAAAATTTGTTCACACTTTGCCATAATCGAGACAGCGAAGGGAGGTAAAAGCTCCCTTTACCGATTTCCGAAAAAAAAATCCTGGTACCGAGATATACAAAGACAAATAATAAGCCTAATGCCCTCATTACGTTGCCATTGAAACTCTGATGTCAAAATAAAACACAAACCATAACAAATTTTCATCTTTATATAATACAGCTGTGGTAAACTTTTTTCGACATCTTTTGTTCATGGCTACGTAGTTAATTCTCAAACTTGGAAGGTACCCCCGCCCCCTAAAAGAAATTCAGTCGAGCCAGCTTAAAAACCACCACTTCTAAGTTTCAATCCCACCCTAAATGTGGCAGAGAGACACTTTCGTGCACGATACCGTCACAAAAGTGATATTATTTTGTCTCCGTCTTCATGTACCATACACTAGCACTGACATGAAAACTCTTTAAAATGGTTATAACCGCAGCTATTCGAAAAGGGTGGCAATATCACCTTTCTTTAACATTTATGTAAATTAGCCCTCTTTGTTCGCCTCGATCAGCTGATGAGAACGTAACCATATTAGTCCAAAAAAAGTCTCTTTTAGACTTCATTTATTTGCAAGTTTCATATATCTTAATATAACTGTTGAGAAAGCCAAATTCTCCGTTTTCTTCACAAAGCTTTGTATTTAGTGAACAGTCACCTGTTAAATTCGACAGTTTAATTACTGCAACACCAGACAGAGTGAGAATTATGTGGTCGCTTATTGTTTGAAATCTTTAACCTTAATATGGATCCATCTCTATACACGCACTAAACCATAAAGTTCAAGGTCTGAATATTCATATCAAGAAGGTATCCTTTTTCTGTCTTAGTCCATTAAGACAAATGTTTCTGCAACTTCAATAGACCCTTCCACGGTAACATTCAGTACTCCAAAATGTTGCAGCATTACTTTTCTTTAATCATCATTATCATTAATTTTATGTCAAATAGCCCTCTTCGTTCGCTTTCATCATCTGTTTTGAATTTAAAAGAACTTTAAATTACCTTGAATCGAGGCATGCGCATTGAGGACCATTATCATGATGATATAAGAATTATAACTCGGAAATTTCCCATCGTTTTGCGTGAATGAGGTGTAGGACACTAAGTTTTGACCAAAGTATACAGGATTTACAAACTGCTCATGCCACATGACTTAAGACTACGACATCGTCAGTATTAAAATACATCTTACTCAGTCTTTGATCGACCTCTAGAGATATATAAGCGATTTCATCAGCTAAGAAATGAATAACTTGATATGTATATTTATCCATAGTTTAACTATTTAAATACATTTGATTTTTAGATCTTTAAGCTACTTAAGGGTTTTAAACCTTTCTTGTATGCAATTTGATCAAGGTTTTTTTCCTTTCCAAATAGAACAGTTACGCTGCGCGCGACCGTTTTGTTTAACCGCCTGTCCAGAGTATGATGGCCTGTAGAAAGCACAAGTGTAATAAAGTTTCCGTGTCTGTAATAACGTTTTAAACCTAAGCGTAACAAAGTTTCTGCCTGTGAAAACATTTAGACCCAACTGTAATAAAGGCCGTATTGTTATAATTAGCTTTATACTCAAACCGGTAATATGCCAACGACAAATTGTGCGCAAAAAGAGATAAAAACTGGAAAGCCACGTGACCATGCGGAAACCAACCCCTGCCATTTAATGTTATCTTCATGGGTTTAACGTTACTGTCAAACTACACATACACACACAGTAGTGTGCCTATAAAAGTATTAGGTAAACGGCAAAGGCCATTGAAACTAAAAATGAGGCCGTTGCCACTTAGAAATATTGATAAAGAACACGTGTGCTCAGTACTGCTGTGGGGGTGTGTTCGAGCAACTCGCTCGCTACACGATGAGGTACCAGGAATCTGATTTACATCTTGGCCTTTATTGTTCTTAATCTTCTTACAACTTCTACTTACTCAGCAACCTTCTCAGTTCTACCAACTTCTCTACTTCTACTCTACTTCTCCCAACTTACTAGTTCAAGTATAGTAGCGGTTTTAATAGCCAAAGCTGGACATGTTTGGGTTAACTGACCGAAAGAGTTTCTATTGTATACCTTATCGCTAACATTGCAACCGCTTTGCTATTGTGAGGAAATAGATTAGCTTACGCACAGCCGCAACTGAATAGTACCAAATAACGAAAGTCAGCTCTAATACCACAAGCACGATCACCTGTAAAAAAAACTGACATTGCCAAGCGAATAACATTCCTAATGTGGCAATAAGTAAATCCGCGAGCTAAGCATAAATTCAAGTACAAGTAAAAACAAAAGATCAAAACAGGAAAACAGTACGTGGAAGAAAACAAGACTTAATGAAAAAAAAACTAAACTTCAAAGTTAAGATAGATCCGTCTTCAAAATAACTTTTAAAGTAGTTCACAACATTCCTCCCCGCTTAGAAAAAGCATCGTCCTCGATGCAAAAGGACGTAATACATATAAATTAGAAATAAGTGCGTTAAATATATCAAAACAAAACTACCACACTACACAATATTAATTAAAACAATGTCAACAGTTCAGTGTCAATAGTTTAGTGTTCAATACATTGTCCTTGAATCTTGAGACCTGAAAACTTGAGCTAAATAAATTGATGACAGTGCTAGTGTTCTTGTGAAGGACTTGACTAGAAAACCACTTGAAAACGTTGAGAATTAACAGCATCAATCATCCTGTAGTAACATACAGGACGGTTGCTAGAAATGCCATTTCAACTTGAATGTAACAGAGAACGCATACTTGGAAGACAAGGCTATCTTGTTTGTAAATGTTATGAAACACAGCTCCAAATGAAGCGAACTCGTCTGATGAAGACAGAAAGTACTGACCAGTGATAAGTATCAACAAGCACAGGTCTGCTTAACAGTAACAAAGAAGGGGTAAAACTCGGCCAAACAGAGTAGCTAATGCTATGCGGAGCGATCAAAGTGTGTTTAGACTTCTCGGAGACAAACAATCGAGTAATATCACCCACAAGCCATCGAAGAACAACAGAAGAATCGGTGATTGAATACATGACGAAATACCAATGCAAGCAACTTCGCAAAATAACTATTACAAAGTAATGTCTAATTATCTAATTTCCGACGTCTAAGGTTATAATAACTATATTAAACAAACAACTTAATCAAAATAGCCAGAGAAACAAAACATAAATATAGAAGCTAATAGATCAAAAGATTTTAAAAAGACATTAGATGCAATAATTTCACGTGCACATAACTCGATACTGAAGACAACTACTCAACTTGCTCAATGAAGAACTTAACATTAACTGTGTTTATAATAACACTTCAGACAGTAATGGAAAACTGACTGATAACAGATGCTGAACTCCTGCCTTCAAAAACTTATCAAATTCATGATATTGTAAACACTCACAAAAAGATTATAGACAGACTAGAAAAACGGAGAGAAGGCGTTCATAAATTCATGGACAAAAATATCTTGGGGATTACCGAACTCAATTCATGGGTAAGAAAAAATCAATGAAATATAAGCCAAGCAGCAAGGCAGAGTAAAAAAACTAGAATTATTTTTGTGATTGAAGATAATTATCAATGAGACGTCTATCCAAAATATGGTGTTCCGGCTCCCACGTTGATTGGTTCTTAGGAAAGGAGAGCCACTTGACCAAGTACTCAACCTTTTCATTCTCTTTCGGTGTTTTAGAATTTTTTTCTGCACTAAACACAACTTCATTGTCGATAACAATTGCGTCCGGAGTTGATTCTTTTGCATTTTGAAGTTGATTCCTTGCCTTTTCTTGGTCTGATTCTTTGTTTGACTCTTTCTCTTTTTGAGGCTGTAGGGACAGTGGCATCTCAATACTAACTGGATTTAAGTCAGTGTCTTTAGGATCTGCTTCAGCAGAAACTGGCTCAAAACAAACTTTTGGAATATCAGATTCATAAATGTACGGCTGGTCAGCGCCGGTCATCAAAAGGCGGAGGGTCAATTGGTCTCAAATTAGGATCAACAAATGGCTTCATACGATTACGTGACACGGAAAAGCAACTTTTTATTGGTGATTGTGCGCAGCTTAAAATGAACCGGTGACAATTTCTCAACGATTCTGTATGGACCCAACCAATTATGCATTAACTTTTTAGATAACCCTTTTCTAGTTCTCGGGGTATAAACCCAAACACGTTGTCCAACTTCAAAAACAGGTTCTTTTTTCTTTTGATCGTAATAATCCTTCATTTTTTGTTGTGCACGTTGTAAATTTTCTCTCGCTAAATTTTGAGCCAATTCGACTTTCTCGACAACACGTTTTCGATAGTCAAGGATCGTACTCAAATCATCAGACTCAGGAGGCAAATACTTAACTTTAATTGGCAAACGTGGCTCTCGGCCATAAAGAACGTAAAAAGGAGAATCCCCAATTGCATCTAAAACAGAAGTCCTAATGCGCAAACAAAATAAGCGGTATGAACTCGTCCCAATCTTGCTGGTTTCTGGAAACGTACAGTGACAATGACTGACACAAGGTAGAATAAAACGTTTTCCTTGAATTATATTCAAAGGTTTGATTTCGATTTAAGGAAATTGTCAAACGCTTTTTCTTTTTTAAACTATATACAGTTGAACCTCCATTTAGCGGCCACCCTCTATTAAGCGGCCAGTAAGTCCAGATATGACTGTAGAAAAGAATAATGGGAACTCGAACCTCTATTAAGCGACTGCGGTCACCGTTTGGTTATCCCAGCGAGGGTTCTCCCATTGTTGTCACCTATTTGTTAAGCGGCCATCAAGCGCTTGATACACTACTTAGTTTGACTTTATTTCAAGAATACAATGGAGGAAAATACAGTCCAGGATTAGAAGGTGACGACCGATTGTAGAACACTGATGCTGCTCCCATCGAGTGTTTCTTTCAAAATAAAGTGGTGTTTCTACTAAAGCTTATTTTATTTATGACGAGCCTAACTTTCGCAAAGACTTCTGGGACTATTACTACAGGGACAAGGAAAACAATATTGGTCAATAGCTGACTGGCGCGTCTCCAGTAATGATCCCAGAAACACTTGCGGGACGCATTTCGGCCTCAGTTCTCTTCTCGTTTCTAAACTGCCGTATGAAAACTTGCATAGGTCAATTAGTAAAAACATGTACTTCTCTCCCCTAAAAGCAGAATGTGTATAGTGTCCTTGTATTTATTTCTACGGTGTAAGGATGTTGTAATTGTGTAGTTCTCTTTCCGTTAGAAACTTTGTAAAGAATGGACCATGGGGCAGAGAAAAAAGTGGCTTGGGATCTGAGGGAAAATTCGTGAACGATATTTTGTTTCATGGGGCCGTATATTAACTAGGCCCACAGAAGAGCACACACTTTTGCCAAGCTCAAACTGAACTAGCGTCTTTGTTACCATTATAATCGCGACATCATCATCAACATCATCTGATCGTCATGATTACACAACCGGTTACTTCGGGGCTCAAGGCAAATGCCTGGCCCTCGGGCAGCGCAAAATTTGCTAATGCCCGACCCCCGGGACTAACAAGGCAGCTAGACAAATGCTTCGCAGTAGCCCGGGGGGATGGGCGCAGCTGAAATTAAGAGATGTATTAAAAGGCAAAACCACAGAAACAAACCACTGAGATCAACCGAATCTTGCGAGTAGACCTAGATCATTGAAATCTACAATACTAAATCATAAAAACAGTAAACTGAACCCTACGGAAGGGAATGTGAGGGCTTTCATCTTGTACGGGGTGTTTCAAAAGTTCGTTCCGATTTTTTCTTCGCTTAAATTTCACTGATTATTAAAAAATACCTTTCGTAAAACCAAGCATATTATTCATTATTCTTTCAGTCAACATTGACTAACTGAAATATTAGCAACTAGAAGATCGTCCTTTATGTTTTCTTATATTTTCTAAGCGGTGAGGTAGTGTATGAGCTCCCAAAACGTGTCTATATTCACATTTTTCCAGGCGAAGCGTAATCGCGGTCTTAGCTCGTCCAGTGTTTTGGGGCCTGAATCTTTGTATGTTGTCTCATCAATCCAGATGTTCTCTAGAGTGTTCTTATCACGTGAGTTTGCCGGCCGGTCTTCCTTTGGTATAAAGTTTGCAAATTCTTCTGATGCCATGCCTGTATAAAGCGTACACCTCCTTTCTCGGCTTTCCAACCTTTGTTGGTCACATACTGGCTCCCTACCGTGAAAACCATGATATAATTGTTAAGTTGAAGGTTTTTTTTTACCTTTCGGTCTTGTTGAATTACTACGCTTATACTTACAGCTTTTTTGATAACATTTCTTTGTAAAACAACGGCCATCTACTCCTTGGAGTTTCTTTGCTTTCTCTTCTAACGTCTTTACTTTTGACCACCTGTTCACTCATCGTTCAGACGTCTTCAACAATTTGGCAATTTCTTTGACTAAATGGCCAGAATACCGTAAAAATAGATGCCTAGGCCCGGTTGCATAAAACCTGCACTTAAGTGCTCACTTAAGTAGGTCACTTACGAATCCGTTATGGGTACACTTACGGGTGTTGCATGGAACACACTTAGCACTCTCGTAAGTTTCTGTTTTACGTGGTAACTTACGGGCTCACTTAAGGACACACGTAACCTTGATATAGTACTTTATTAATGATTCACTCTTTTTTTTTAAGCTAACCATCGGTGAGTGTAAAGAAAGTTAAAAGTCGTTTCGAACACTTTTAAGCCTCTCAAAAAATGAAATTTGCATGCAACCGTTATTTTTCTTCAATATCTACTGAAAATAATAGTTCTTCTTTTTCACAAAAGTGTACATCAGAGGTTAACAAAGCGCATTAGAACGAATTACGTGAAGAAAAATACTTTTTTTCACTTCTCAGTAAAATATCTCGTTATATTTAGTAAAAATAGTAACGATACGGGACCTACATAGGTCCCGTAAATTTACGTGCTATTTTTCCCGTAAAAAAAGTTTTATGCAACACCCGCAATTTCTGTTGCATAAACGACACTTAAGTGAACACTTACTAAAATCGTAAGTGCAACAACTTAAGTGAATTCCCTAAGTGGACCACTTAAGTGATTTCATGCAACTGACTTAAGTTACGAGTGCACGTACGTGTACCCGTAGTTGTTACGGGCGTTTTATGCAACCGGGCCCAGAGCAGTAGCCTCAACGAAAGCGATACGGTGAGATCGCGCGGCCTCTATGATTTCGTGTAGGCAAAATACAGAGCCCTTCGAACGTTGAACGTCGACGAGCGTACTTACTCCGAGATATGCTGCTGGAAAGGATTCCGGATTCAATACGCTTAACAATCACCAGAGGAAAGCAGTACCTGGACTGCCTGGAGTGGACCCTCAAAGACTTGCTGGATTCCTTGTTGACGGAGGTTGAATTGCGGGAAGATCATAATTTAACTGCGCCACGAGGTGGATCGAATGACCGCAGAAAGGGACCCCAGACAGCGAGTGCATTATTCACTAACAAAGGAGGGGACAAGAGATGAGCATTTTGCCTTGGAGGGCACCCCCCAGAGGATTGCAAAAAGGTGCAAGACATAAAGGAACGTAAGAAACGTTTACTTAAATTCGGTAGATGTTTGAAATTGTATTGAAAAGGGCCATCGAAGCCTACACTGTAGCGTAACAATAGAATGTAAATTATGTAAGGGACAACATAGTTCTTGTTTGTGCGTGGCCAAACCGCAACAGGCCTCGGGGGGGGGGAATCAAGATAAACCAACGGGAGATAATAGCGATCGGCCAGGAAATATTAAACGTCAGCGCCCAACTTGTGGGTACTGAATGTAGGGTAGCCCTCCAGACAGCCCAAGCATTGATTCTGACTCTGGAAGTCATAGATCTTTTGTGACCTCTAAATCGGCTCTCAAATACGAGTTACCCGTAGAAAGAAAGGAATGGATCACGATTAGTACTTTTGGCCAGAAAGGCAAAGAATCAGGGTTGCGAGAAGTCGTACGTTTTGACATAAAGCCTCTTCATGGCGTGTAACCAAATATTGTATGACACAATCAGTTCTCTGTAGCTTTAATTCTTCACTCCATTAAAGTATATTTCTTCACATGTTCATATTTTAGAATTCTGTACTCTGTTCTAAACTTAAAGGATTCATCGACATCAATTCGCGTAAAAATTCGATGATCTACACTCAATCCACACACTTGATCAGCTCCACGACTCCGAACGACTACACAGTTCTAAGACTCTCGTGCAAAGCTCAGTTTTCAGATCACGTGACGAGTTTTCCCGCCACAATGACGCAATAATTCCTAACACACTCCCCGCCTTGATTGACACAGGTCAATCAGCAACGAAACGAATAATATAACAAATGAAAGGAAAAGAGTTCGCTGTTCTTTGACTTAATGTTAATGTTCACTAACATGTTCCTGTTCGGCATTTCCCACGAAGGTAATGTCGAGATCAGTGTTTCTGTTCTGACGCTCTTCCCGCACTTGTGATTCGACTTCTACAGGGTAAAGCCTATTTAGGGGTCTTGTCATTTCCACGACTCGATCTCCACTACGCACTCTTACAACAGCTCCTCTGTGGTAACCATCTCGTCCTGTAATGAGAGATTTGACGGCTCCCATACTCCAAAGTTGTCTCGGCGGTTTGTCCTTGTAGACGCAAAAAACATCCCCGACCTTAATCGTTGGCTTCCTGTTACTCGAATTGCAATTGTGATGAACACGTAATTCTGTTAAGTATTCCTTCTCCCAACGTTTCCAAAAATGTGAAAGTACAGTATTCAAGTACTTCTCACTTCTTGAAAGATCACGCACAGTGTGATATCCCGCACTTGGTTGTTTAGCGCTTCCGTGTGAACTCCACAAGCGACGACCAATAACAAGCTGCGACGGTGTAAGAGGATCTCGCATTTCATCACTCACATAATTTAGAGGTCTTGAATTCAGGATTCCTTCGGTCTCGACAATTATTGTAAGCAGTTTTTCATAAGTGAAAAATTTGGTATCATAGGGTAACGACGACAGACCTATTCTGCCTTGACATCTGACTACACCTTCACTGTCCTGATAAAGTCCCAGGGTCGACTTCATTTGCTGGTACTTGTCACTGTTCAGGAGACCTTTTGAACGTGTTTCATCCACTTCTTCTCAGCTTGCTTGTACACTTGTAAGGATTCTTCTTGATCAGTTGATCTGTCCATTCTTCTTTTCAGTTTTTTAACAAATAGCAACACAAGTGAAGTAACTTTTATGAGCTTCGTAAGGGAACTGTAGGATTCAGGATTGATGATACTCTCCAGATTTGCTTCTTGTTCTTCGATACACGTGTTCAATAAGCTGGAGACTGTAGGTTTGGCGGATTTCAGTTCGCATAACTCTTCCTTGGCTTGTACATTTACAGGCTGCACTGGCCAGTAAGCGCTTTCCTTAGACAGGAATTCTGGACCATGTAACCACAAACTACTTTCTTTGAGTGCAGTGGCCTTAATTCCTCTTGATACAATGTCAGCCGGGTTTTCTGACGTAAGACAGTACCTCCATTGCTCAGGCGGTGCATTTCGTCTGATTTCGCTCACACGATTCTCCACAAATTGCTTGTATTCCTTATCAGTGTTTATAATCCACCACAAAGAAATCATAGAATCCGTCCAATTGACTACGTCATCAACTCTCACAACGTTTTCTAACGCTTGACCCACACTCTTCACCAATCTTGACGCAGTAAGGTTAGACAACAGTTCTAGACGCGGTATGAATGGTTTTCTTATCCAAACGGAGCTACTCGGGTTTTTGACCCCACAATCTTACATTCTACTCTTGACTCATGTTCTACTCTCATGTAAACAACGGCTCCGTACGCCTTTTCCGACGCATCTGCAAAACAATGAAGTTGGAGCGATTTAACTTCATTCCTACCGAGACCTTCAGCATAACACTTTTTAAAACTCACTCTCCCAGCTAGTCATAGGTCTGACAAAGTTGAAAACCACTCTTGGTTGAGTTCGGTATCCACTAACTCGTCCCAGTCCCTTTGAGCCTTGCACAGTTTCTAAAACATAATCTTGAAGGGTAGAATAACTGGAGATATTAAACCCCAAGGGATCAAAGAATCTCGTAGGAGTACTGAGAATCAGTCTTCTTGTAGCTGGCTGAACGTCCACACCCTCCAATACCTTAATCAAGTCATAGATCAGATCATCTTGCTTAGGGTTCCAAAGCATTCCCAAGACCTTCTGTTCTTTCTCAGTACCTTGCTTAAAAACTGACTTTGAGAAGCTCTCATCTTCCTCTTGAACACATTCTTTACTGTCTCTCCAACGAAGGCTGAATCTTATTTCAGGGATTGCAAAAGACTTGCTGAGTTGCTGTTCCACTTCCTCATATTGAACCCTCCTGATTTGAGACAGAGTTTTATCTCCTTCGACAAAGAAAAGGCATTGTTCACATCCTTGGCCCCCTGAAACAAAGTCATCTACATACAAAGACTTCAAAAGCTCAAGTGCAAGAGCATTGTCATTCAGCATACATGTATTAACGTGGTGTCTGATAGTAGCATTGAGAATGAAGGGGCTAGCATTCACTCCAAATACAACTCTTATAAAGCGAAGTAACTTAATCTCAGGTGATTCCTTATTGACATCATCTACCCATAGAAATCGTAAAAAGTCTCTGTGTCCTGGATCAATCTCAATATTCAAAAATGCTTTCTCAACATCAGCAGTTACAGCAACTTCATGAACTCTAAATCACAGCAAAATGTCCAGTAGAAGAGGATTTAATGAAGGTCCGACATGCAGACAGTCATTTAAGCTTGGTCCAAACACCTTGGATGAGGCATGGAATACAACTCCAACCTTTGTTACGTTGTATCTCTGTCAAGTCTCACAACTCCCCTGTGTGGGAGATAGTGCACATTTCCAGGTTCTAGGACTTGATCTTGCCGCACTTCTTCAACTACTCCACTTTCTAATTGCTCCTTAATCACTTGATCATATTGTTCCAGTATTTCTGGTTGGGTCTTAAGCTTCTAAATCACAGTTGCCAACCTTCGTGATGCATTTGTATAATTATCTGACAGCGTGAGGTGATTATCCTTGAATGGTAGCTTGACTTGGTATCTTTCACCAGTGAATCTTATCTCATTTGAAAACTTGTCATGAACTGAAGTTTCAGTGTCCCTTATGCCTAAGGTTTCCAAGTCCCAAAATTTCTGCAAATCATCTTGCACATGGCTGATGTCAGCTGACTCAATTTTCAAAAAATGTGTAGCACTTAGATTAACTGTGCATGACTCTGTCAATGCTGGAACTGCAACTGGTCCCGACAGTACCCACCCCAACTTGGTCTCAAGAGCTACGGGTCCAGAACGATCTCCCCTAAGTGTTGGGTCTAGCTTGGGACTGTGAAGAAGATACCCTTCGTTTCAACTTTCAGCATATAGCCGACAAGGCTAAGGGGTTGGAAGCAACTAAAAGAAATGTATTAAGTCTACTGGCAAGTTCATTTGATCCCTTGGGGATGGTTAGCCCTGTCACCGTCGGTATGAAGGTGCTTTTGAAGAAATTTGAAACAGTAAATTCGATTGGGATGAGGTTTTGACAGGAGAAATTAAACGAAAATGGGACAAGAGGGTCCAAGATTGGCAGAAACTAAAGGGATTCGTATAAAAAGGTGTCTTTATGAGACAGGGGGAGGGGATGTAACAGAGTGCTATTTACATGGGTTCGGGGATGCCAGCAAGAAAGCCTATTGTGCCATGGTTTACTTCGTTTATTGCACGAAGGATGGTAAAGCTCGCGTAAGATTAGTAGCTAGCAAAACTAGAGTCGCCCCTCTAAAAGAACTTTCTATTCCACGCTTCGAATTAATGTCGGCGAGAATACTTGCCCAGCTCATGTACACAGGGAAGAACGCGTTACAGTCACAAGTCAAGTTGGATGGCGTGAGGTTCTGGCTGGACAGCAAGACAGCTCTCAGCTGGATACAAAACAAGGGCGAATGGAAGCAGTTCGTGTGCCACAGAGTGAACGAGATTTTGAAGTTGACTGACAAGGAAGATTGGGCGTACTGGTCAACATTAAAAAACCCAGCTAAACTTAGTTCCAGGAGAGTGTTAGCCTCGCAGCTAAAAGAAAACCAGCTTTGGTAGAGCGGTCCATCATGGCTAACAGAACGACCGGAGGATTGGCCGGTGTTGACAGAAAGCTTAAGAACCCCAGAGAGCCTGATCGAAGAAAAGAAAAGCGCGGCTGTAATGATGACAAAGGCGGAAATTGTGAGTGGTATTGCCGGTGTCATTGACGTGAACGACTACAGCACGCTACAGAGACTCGTCAGAGTGACAGCTTGGATAAAGAGATTCATTGACAACTTAAGAGCAAGGGCAAAGCAAAACGAGAAGCGAACCGGGAGATTGGAAGAGGACGAATTGAAATGCGCCGAGATTGAGTGGCTGAAGTCAGTCCAAAGCGAATTATAGAAAATTTAGAACGAGACCGAATTGAGTGGAAATTTAATTTAGAAAGGACACCATGGTGGGGAGGGTTTTGCGAAAGAATGGTTGCCAGTGTGAAGGGATGCCTGAGGAAAACTCATGATTCATGATTCAAGGGAGACGCCTGCAAAGCACTTCCAGATGAGGTTGCTGAACCAGACAATGCCATTAATATCGATAATTGCTCTGCAAGATTTAAGTATTTCAGCACTAGGTTGAGTCATTTTTGGAATTATAGGTGGCGAAAAGAATATCTTGCAAATCTGCGCGAATTCCATAAGTGTAAGTCAGGAAAAAGAGAAAGGGAGGCAGAAGTAGGAGATGTAGTTGTAGTGTATGAGGAAGAAAGGAAAAGGGGTGAATGGAAGATGGGAGTTAGAGAGACAGGCAGAGATAACGTCGTTAGAGGAGCTACTGTCAGAGTCGTTACGAAGGGAAAACCGATTCTCCTTTCCAGACCAGTTCAAAAACTTTATCCGTTGGAGTTTCGGAGCGAAGGGGAGGGAATAAAAGCACTTATCGAACGCAACCGGAATACAGAAATTTCGACAAAAAGAGTCCCTCCTAGAAATGCGGCCTTAGACACTACATGGAAATCGAGACTAATGCTTGACTTGTAGCCGAGTCAAGGGAGGGAGTGTGTCGGGAAAGAAATAGGTGATGCTTAACTTTATTATTTTGTGATTAAATATTACGCAAGGATAGAAGGAAAAACCTCTGTTACCTTAGAATGTGTTAGTTGATCGCTGAGTTGATCGTTGATCGTAGTGTTACGAACGTTGAATATGTGACAATTGTACGTCGCAGTAGATTGTTGGATTATATTGTATTAAATCGTGTTGTTACATCGAAAGATACAGTCCTCTTGATTTGTTTCAACCAGCGTGCGGGGTTATAAGAATTCCGCAACAGTTTATGAATTACCATTCATATTTTGGCATTACATATTAATGTTGACGAAGTAAGTTGAATCACTCTCAAAAAATTATTGCCATGTACGATGGAATTATTACAAATTGCGACAGCTTAGTTTATTACAAATTGCGACAGCTTTTTTATTACAAAGTGCGACACGGTTTATTACAAATTGCGACAGGTATTACAAAGTGCGATGATTATTACAAATTGCGACAGTACACCTCTTTCACTATCCTATATTTATTATAAGGGACAAAGAAAAACTAAGAACTTACCTAGTTCACATTTTTCTCCACTCCATTGCGGATTGCATGAGCAAGCGAAAGCTTCTTTTTCTTTGTCGAACAAACAAGAACCTCCGTTGAGGCATCCAGCCATCAGACAACCCTTCAGAAAATCACATCTTAATTACTTCAGTAAGCGTTACAGTTTTAACACTATCAGATGTTTTAGCAAAAAAACGTTCAAATTCATATGATCCTTGCAGTGCGTACTGATCTCTCAACATAACTTTCTAAGGCACAGTGTAAATCATATCTGTGCAATATATATTTTGAACTTAGAAACCAAAATAAACTCTCCTTAAATTTTTGAATTGCACTGCACATTTTTCTTAACAGTTTTAACTGTAGTTTAAAAACAAGTAAACCCGAATTGAAGGCAAGAATACATAGCCGTCCATAACATTTAAGAGCAAATGTCAGTAAAAATCGCGCAAAATCGAAATTTCCCGGCCACAGTCAAAAAATCAATCTTGGGCTCATGAGATAGGCATAAGTAAGTAACTAAACGTAGTGTAGTTTGTTGTTCAAAAGACCGCTTGGATTTGGAGAAAATCGACAAAATCAATTTTCGTGGTCGGCGACTTGAAAACAACCAAAATTTTAGGCAAAATCAGGCGGTCTCAAAACTTCGCTCGCACGCACACAGGAAGAAAGCGGGGTAAAATATTCCCGATAAATCAATTTATAAAGGGTTCTACTTCTGGTTTGGTGATGAATTCTTATCTTAACAATAATCTGGAAGATAAACAATGTTATTTTAGTTTGGATTCTTTTTCAACTAAACGAAATTTAAATTTAGGGTGAAAGTTGCGTTTTATATTTTAGGCATGTGCTACACCTTGGTTTTACCTGAAACTCAAGTCATATGCTATTTAAACATTGTGCTAAAACATGTGTGAGAACTGGCCTGGGTAATTAAATTTGCACTTCACACGAACGTTCTGAAGTTGAATAAATTTTGCTTGAAGTATGAGACTTTTCAAGAACGTCGGTTGGTTGTTGCTCGACAAGTCACGATGGCTGGGCTCTCCAAAGAAACTTAACTCACAATCGCACTTGTATTAAAGACGTTTGTACTGATGATCATGAAACGATAATGTTTGTTACCTCAAATGCGTTTTCCCGTTCTGGTTAACTGGCATTGCGCTTCTTCGCAAGCTAATCAACCAAAGATCCAAAAACTCGAGAATACGTGGTGCGTGAAAATAACCTCAAACAGAACATTTCTTGATATTGCTGGCCTTTCTTTTCCGCAGTCAAACTTTTACATCTATTTCCATTTAAAAATTCTAGGCCTCGCGATTTTGATAGTGAAACTTTCGGGCTACCGATACCTCTTTGGTCATAAAAGTCTGGTCAAAAGTGTTGCGTGACAGGATTCACAGGCTTGCCAATCTAACCATTTGAGCGACAACTTTAAAAGTAGTATATTATGCTACTAACAATACAAATCAAGTTTTTATTCTTTTTGTCCTAAGTTTTCGTAAAGTGTGCTTCCATACAATACTAAATAAGTCCAAAAATATCGTTTTTCACGTCAACTTCCCCCCGCTGCCTTGTATGCGCCTTTGATTGAGTTCAGGCTTCAATCTCTAGCTATTTCAACTCGTTATTACCTACCAGGCGGCTGTCTTTCCTCTCGCATGTGCAAGTTCCATTGTTTTGGATAACAGTTTCGTAAACATTCTGCAATTATCTTTCAGTATATATATTTTTTTCTAATCTGAACATGGTTATTCGATCGTCAAACTCTTGTTTCTGTTTACATACAGAGGAACCCTGCCTTGCGACCACCTCTTGCCTCAGCTCACCTCCCATTGTCTTTCCACCGAGACGTGAAAATCTCCGAGTCATTTTATTATTTTGAGGACCTCTTTAATGCGACCACCTCGCTATTGCGACCAGGATTTTATGGCCCAACGCTGGTCGCATCAACGGGGTTCCACTGTATTTTTTAATTTCAGTTTTCCACATTGTACAACAAAAAACAACCAAAAGAAGAAATGTGCGTCAGTTGAAGTATGGAAATTAATGTAAAGAACTAAGATTTGGGCCTCGCTTATATGAAGAAAATTTGTCTCGAGCAGAAGGGTCACCTGCCTACCCTAGCGTCCCTGGAAGAGGCAACGTTTCACGCATTTCTTTACAAAAAAAAGGCGAACCTTTTTAAATTACAAAAAGTTGGCTAGGCTAGAAGGGTGACCCACCTTGTCCAGTCACCCTTTTGTAATGGTAGGGTCAGCCTCCTAGCGGGGCCAACGTTTCTCCGTAGGCACTTTACGCACTTTCCATTCAACAAAAATTCCTGTTTGAAATTTCGGAAAACCACGTGCCCGGTGGAAGGTACATTCCAGTTGCAAAGACCAAACCAAAGCCACCGCGAGTTTGGTTATACAGACCTGTGGTCCTGGGGAAAATAATTTGTCAAAATAATGGAAGGGGGCATTTCGGTCCGACCGTCTAGATCAAATCCGATCCGTATCGGTAACAGGCTCGCATAGCCAAGGCGAGACAATCAGGCCATGCGCGAAGGCCGGTTGGGGTCAATGTTTTTTTTTTTCTTTCGGCTGGGAGGGTGACTCTCCTACACGAGACAGGTTTTCTCCATATAAAGGGAATTAAAATTTTCGGATACGAAATTGTAATAGAGAAGGAATCAGGAAAAATTTCAAAATTCTCGAAAAAAATAATATTGAAGCCCTTGTAATTTCGATCGAAAAGACTACTCAAGTTGCCCTGTGGCTGACCGAACAGTTGTTATAATTATATGGCACCGCAAAGACCTTAGTTATTTAGATAAGCTAAAAGGGTTCTCAATGTAACTAGGAGGAAACTGTCTTTGGGTGCTCCTGTCAACTATCGCCTACACTGTTCATAGTCCTCTATTTTTCCGTAAGATCATCGAGATCTAACGCTTTGTGTTACGGGCTGCCATCTTGCATGAGTGTCAAAACTACTTGAGCGTTTGCATTTCCTTATAAAACAGAGAGTTGCGCGAAAGCTTCGATCTGTAGATTTTCTTAAGTTAAATTACCTTTGTATCGTGGAAACAATACTCTAACACTTGAGTCTTGAATCAAAGGACGCGACATGCGTCGGCTCCCTTTGTGAGCGCGCAAATAGTCATGGGACCCGCGATTTTGCGGGCGACACGGATCTACAGGCGCCGTTCCGTAATGAGAGGGCGGGGGCGATTTTTCCTCGCCCCCTCCCCCCCAGAGCTATAATCCCCGACGCCCGCCCCATCGGTTCATTTGAAAATCAAGATACCCGTGACGGTAAGACGCGGTTTATCTAAACGACCAGCGCTCCTCTTAATCTTCTTATTTCGATTTGAATATTTGATTTCGGGCCCGAAAAGTTATAGGGACTTTGGACAAACGGGCCCCTGGTCCGTTGTCTAAGGCCGCAAGACGGAATTTACTGGAAAAGTAAACTTAATGCTTTTGCCTAAACAGTGTCCTTTTAAAATGAATTTGAAGACGTCAGGGCCTAACCCATTGGTAAACACGTTTGATTCCAGCTTTCTAACTTGCTGTATCTGCGGTATATTATCTTAGTGTCAGATTTTAAAACTTCTTTGAGTAGCCGAGCATGCTGTAAGGAGGAAATTATCTGATATACTTTGACGTATCCTTTGGTAAAGGAATGAGGGAGGAACAGGTCAGCGTTCTAGACCCCAGGTTTCCTTCATTGTATATATTGGATACTAGAAACTGAAACTCATGCCTTAAGTCTTCACACTCAAGGAGTGGTTTGTAGACTTGAAAATAGAGCTACGTCATCTGCCACTCCACAAGGCCGCATTTTCCCAATTACTTTGCAATATTTTCTTAGTTGCGTGTGCCAATGTAAGTTTTTTAATGCTGGTTAGCCTGTGCAAGCATTTGAAAAAGGGGGAGACAGGGTTTAGAGTAACCTGAGATCAGGCGTCATTTTTTTTTGTTTTTTGCTTCTTTGCTTCTTTGGCTCGAGAAGGAAAAAAAGAACGCCTGATACATTCATTTAACAAGCCGTCAACCACCCCCTAATTTACATAATCTAACGTCTGCATGACCTGTCATGTTATTAGCCAATAAGCGTTTACCATACAGGAATCAAATTTTGGCGCGAATAATGTCTCTTTTGAAATCAATTTTGGGAAAAGAAAATTTTTAAGTACGTCCATGTTCAGATGGCGCTTCGATTCCTAAAAAATTTAAATGTGTTGTTTTTGTGATGAAATACTGCTAGCTGGAGCTGCCGTACCTTTAATTAACAAATACAAATAATAAAGAATTTTCTGGTTAAAGCTCGTTGACTTCGTTCTGTGCCGAAAGCAGCGAAGAAGAAAAAATTAGGCTGAAGCACCATATTTCACGAACTGAAAGGTGTTGTGAAAGCGAAGATCGCTCAGAATAATTCGCAGATTTCTGAAGGAGGAATTACAGTCAAACCAACTCAAGATTCCCGATTTATGAATTGATTATTTGAAAAGTGAACCCGTTTGTCGCTTCTGTAACTTGTATAGCCGGTATCAAATTGCATTCAAATGATCGGTGAAGTTTTGACTGCAACTTTTTAGTATACGATGAGATGGAAAATATTTCAATGGATGAAACATCTATTTAGGTATTCTTCAAATTCAAGAAAACTGAGCCGGCAGAAATTTCATAACGAACTTGCGTGTGTATTCACTGCTCATTACGCAAGCAAAATTGCAGACTGAAATCAACAACAACTAACGGATGGCAGCATTTTGGCCAATCGGAACAGCGCAAATCAACCGTATTGTTTCCTATCCAATCAGAAGAAAGTCCAGATTCTGGCTTTTTTACATGTGATCCGACAAAGAAATGTATCATGCCCTCTTCCCGTGAGAGACATAAAGGGATAATAGGGAGAGGGCATGATCTCAGGCTGGGTTTAGGGCGAATTGCTTACCTAAAGTCCTTGAGCAAGAGTTACAGCGTAAACCTTGGCTTTAGACGGATTCTTCTATCCCCTCAACGACCTTTCCATCGGAGTCTTACACTCGGTAAGATCTAGAGCCACCCTTCCTCAAAATATACATATGAAATAACATGATTTTTTTTTATTGTGATTCTTCACTCAAAACTAAAAGCCCTTCCGGGATCATCTCTCGAGGTTGTCCAAAGTTTAAAACCTACTCAGTGTTCGTGTGTACTGGCAGGGTGTATGATTTTGATGTTTTTCAAATTCCTTAATAGTCAATACTTTTATCACACGCGCAGGTGTCCGAAAAACTAACCACCACTTTACACTTTTAAATCAAGTACTGTTGGCAGCCAGACTATGCAACCTTTCAGTTGTTGTATAATTAAACAAATAACTTTGAAAACATCAAAGAAATGTATAAACAATTTTGTTTTCTGTTCATTCTTAAGTTCGAAAGATGGTGTTCGTTGTCACGCAACACCACTCCTTGTCTTCTCACACTTCCTCGCTGTATGTTGCAACTGATTCTATCAAATGGTAAGGACATCTTTCAAATCGCCGAAAATGTCTCAAAATATTATGTTCAACCACCTTAAGAATTTAGATCATAACGCTCATTAGGTTTGAGTGACATTTTTATAACCTGGCCCATCTCCAATGACCTCTCGTTAGAGGTCAAATTACAAATGCTTTAGCGCCAGCAGAATTTTGGAGCTCGAGAGTAGAAAAAGTGAAAAAAAAGTGCCCCAAACTATAAAGGTATACTCAGTTAATTTCCATTGGATGTTAGCAAATTAATTATCGTACTATAGAAGTACATCAGATTTCTTCCCAGGAAATGCCAATGATCCCTTTCGGTAACAGCAAGGCGTTGGTGAGTTATGCAAATGTGTCATATTTCACTCAAAATTTGTTCAAGTTCAGAAGGTTCGTATGAAGCGCAAATTAAATTACCCGAGCCAGTTGTTACATATGTTTTAGCACAAGACAAGTAAGAATAGCTTATAGCTTGAGTTTCAGGAAAAACCAAGGTGTAGCACATGCCTAAAAATTAAATCGCGACTTTAGGTCTAAGTTTAAACTTCGTTGAGTTGAAAAAGAACCAAAACTAAATTAAAATTGTTTACCTTCCACACTATCGTTAACATAAGAATTAACCGCCATACTAGGGCTAAAACCCTTTATAAATTGATTTATCGGGGAATATTTTACCACGCTTTCTTTCTTTTTGGGTGCGAGCGAAGTTTTGAGACCGCCTCGATCATTTTGCCTCAAATTTTGGTTGTTTTCAAGTCGCCGACCACGAAAATTGATTTTGTCGATTTTCTCCAAATCCAAGCGGCCTTTTGAAAAACAAGCTACACCAGGTTTAGTTACTTACTAATAAGTATGTATGGACAAGATATGAGCCAAATTAAATTTTTGACCGTGGCCGCCGGTTGCTCGATTTTTACAGACATTCGCTCTTAAAACTTGTCCCGGATTGAAACTGGTGGCAAAAGGAAGTGTGAATATGACTGGCTCCAATACAAGACATATCCCCGCTTTGGATACCATTTTCGATAAATGCATCCTAATAAAGCTCAACTTCACTGTGATTCCAACAGAATAGATGTGTGTTAGTTAAAAATTGGTTTCAACGCAGTTCTTACATCGCGTACGTTGTTGACAAACCTCCGGTCTTCGACTCACCTTAAGAAACATTGAAAACGTTGTGCCGGTATTATCGGTGAGCTTGGTGTCATCATCTCCAGTTATTGAAAACTCGTGCTTGTTCAGTTCACAGTTGCCTGAGGACTCTTTAAAGTTAGCAGAAGTACACCAAGAATGCCTTAAACAAGCTTGACTGCATGACATTTCATCCGTAGAATCGATTCTCTTTACAGCAAAGCCATGTAAACGCTTGTTCTCTTGGGCTACTATGTAGGAGGATCTAGATTCTCCTTCGGCCGCCAAAACTGCTCCAAAGATGAAGCAGAAAATGACTGAGCAAATCATTTTATCCGGCCACCTCTGCAATCTCATAACGCCGTTTTCATCAACAGAGTGTGTGCATGTGTAACAGAGCGATAAACGGGGTGTTTTCTCAGGTAGAATTTGCAAGGAACCCTAATATAGTAATTGTTAACAATAGCATGCTAAATTTATTAATGAATTTGAGCTCGATTGACTTGTGCGTTGTCAGTGACGTGTTATGTCAAAAGCAAAGATAGCGTAAATGATCTAATAGACGGTCATTCTCACATAAAGTTTGTATTAGACTTCCCTCTTTAATAAATGCACACTGTCTAATTTCGCAGCTGAAAGGAATTAAGCTATATTCTGTGTTGCTCTTAACGTAATATTCTAACGAAAAGTTTCCACGATTGTAGCGTTTGTTAAAAAGCAATTTTTCAAAATGTCCAGCCTTAAAAATTAGGAAATATCACTCGAACACTAAAACGTTATCATGAATACACATTGCCAGATAGTTAGAATTAAATGACTAAAATTCATAAATGGCTGAGGCGTCCAAACAAAAAAATTGAGCAGGTGAAAATCATCAATTTGATAGTTTCAAACTGAGAGAGTATGTGTCGATGATAAGCTGTCCATGGACGTAAGAATAGAGTTTAATATTCAGCAGCAAAAAATACTAGGTAAACTGCTTCGATCAGCCTTTAAAAACAGTTCAGTATAACAGTTATTAAAGATCCGTTACTGTCACATGCGGAAAAAATCGGTTGAAATCCCTTTGAGAAGTAGTCCTAACTTAACTTATTTCAAGAAATATGTCTTCCTTTATGTTTCTAACACCAAATTTAATCTCTTGATACTGTAACTTTGTTTGTTTATTGGTCTCAGTGACATGCGTTCAAATTTCATCTTTTGACGGAAGTTCCAGACTTGAAGAGAAAGGCAGAGAAAAGCGGAAAATTGGACGCGCACACGCAGAAAGATTATACTCTTTACCATTAAAAAAACATAATTAATATTTTGCGCCAAAGAATTATACTTTGGTGAAATGAATACTCCGTCGCTCTCTTGCAGGCAAAAATTGTTTAGAAAAGGAGTCTCTTAAAATATTTGTTTATCCTTGAGAAGCACAATACAGCGTTATCTAAGAAATCGTGGCTGATTAGTGCTGCATTTTGAAAAATTTACTGACAGCAAGCACCGTGTATAAACTCACGAGAAAAGTTCAGACAGGTGAAAAGGAAAGAGCAATTTTCATGCAATTTTATGCAAAAAAACTCAAATTGGGCTAACTCTTTCTAAAGACAGATATTCGCGTGGCTCTCGCAAAATATGAATGCAATTTATGAAATAATGGTCAGCTCATCCTGTTTAGAATTTTTTTAGTAACTATAAAAAGCATCTGGCGTGAGTAATATGAACCCTGCACTATGAAGGCCCGTTCTGGTCAAAATTACATGATTAATTTTTCCCTCTTGATGAATTAATTTGATGAGTACCTGCTATTCATATTTTGTCTGTTTGTAATTATTTTTTCCTATGCCTGTAATTATTTTCGTGTTCTTTTCAACTTTTCCATGCGTCACAATTATTTTTTCCTCACCAGGAATTAATTTTTTTATGTGCCGTCTTTATTATTACGCTTCTTTGAAATTATTTTTGTCCATTACACAAGTTATGTTACGGTTGCGGATTAGTTTTTTGTCTGCTATAATAATTTTTTTTGGATAATTAATTGATTTTGTCCTACGCAACTCATAATATAATGATAATTTAATTTTTTCCATTCGAGAATTATTTTTTCTTAGTCATAATTATTTTTTCGTAGTTTTGGCAAATGTCCCATAAGCCTCTGCGGTAATGCACCTAAAACAAACATGGCGGCTCGTACTCGTCGGTCACGCCCGGTGGTGTTACGAGAGAGAAATGAACGTGGGTTCGCGCTTTTCTTACAGAATCTAAAAAGCGTTCTTAATCTGTTGGCTAGTGCTGATGAGTTAGAGACAGACGTTCTGATTCAAACGAGGAGTCGATTAGTGGATGCTTCGGGCACGTTGTCATTTCTGCTGAATGACATGTCGAATGGTCTCACAAATGCTACTGGTATTCCGTCAAATGCGATTCAAGTTCCTGTGCAGCACCTGAAGAATTCTTTAACCCACATAACTGATTTGCTTTCAAGTCGGATAGAAGGCCGCAACAATGTAGACTTTTATGACTCACTGGATATATCTTATTCTGCACCGCTGAATCTTTCACAGACAGGACGAGGTCTTAAACGCTATGAAATAACTAAAGACCAACTCGAACACTTACGGTCGCTTTATTTTTCTTGGGAAGCAATTGCTCGCATTCTTCAGGTTAGTCTTTCAACCCTTCAGCGGCGACGAAGAGAACTCGGTGTGAACACCCCAGCCTATTCAGAAATATCAGATGACGAACTGGATGAAATTTACAGAACCGTAACTGGCAGTTCAAGCACGGGACCCCTTACCCCCAACATTGGTAGGAGACGATTTATAGGAGCACTGAGGAGTAGAGGCTGGAGCATTCAAAGATGGAGAGTAAGTGATTGTTTAAGACGTATGGATCCTGTTAGAACTGCCCTGCGCTGGAGAATGACTATTCACCGTAGAAAATATTATGTACCAACCCCTAACAGCCTATGGCATATAGATTCGGGCCACAAATTAATAAGGTACAAGTTGATAACACACGTCTGTATCGATGGGAAAACAAGGTTAATTTTGTATGCTGCTTGCAGAGACAATAACAAAGCAGAAACAGTCCTTTCTTTGTTTCAAAATGCGGTGCAGAAATGGGGGTTACCCTCACGCGTCCGATGTGACTACGGTATGGAGAATTATCATGTTGGTGCCTACATGATACAGCACCGCGGACCAGCCAGAGGCAGCATCATTACTGGATCATCTGTCCATAACTCTCGAGTTGAGAGAACACATCGTGATGTCTATTCTGGGGTGTTAGCATTCTATTCCTGTGTTTTTCAACAACTGGGAGATGAAGGCAACCTTGATGTCCTAAATGATGTTCATATTTTCAGCTTACATCACATCTACATTCCAAGAATACAGAATTCTCTAGAGGAGCTTGTCAGTCAAATGAATAATCGGCCAGTATCAACTGAACGAAACCATTCACCACTTCAAATGTGGGAGAGGGGTATGTTAGAGAACTTGCACTCTGGACATACTGCACTGAGTGAGGCTGAGATCGAACATTTGGGGGTAGATCCAGATGGTGTGCTTTCAGTGGAGGTTGAGGATTATCAGGTGGAGATTGATCCACCATTGGTCAGCCTTTCAGAAGAACAGAAAGGAGAACTTCCAGATCCTCTCACAAATGATGGAAACAGTGGAAAAGATATTTACTTGCAATGCATTGAGGTCGTTAATGGATTTCTTTGCTCTAGTTAAGTATTCTAGGGTGAATTGAACCAATCACACAAACACTATTGTTGTATTACTATGGGCGATGTAAATCCCAAATGGGTCCATACTTATATACTTCAGCAAGATTGCTATTGACAGTTGTTATTGGTACACTCAAATTGCATTTTTACTGTATTTTAATTATTACAGTACAGTAAAAATCCCATTTCAAAAATTCCAAGATACAAAGTGGCCTGCAAGCCATACTAAGGATGCCATTGCCCCTGTACTTTTTTTTTTGTGTTTGGTTATTAGGGCCATTGTTGTTGAGAAGTTCCTCAGATTAATGGAATGTCTACCTTTTACCAGTTCTACCAGTGAAAAACAGAAAACTGAAGTCTTGGTAAAATGATGTTGTCTATGAAAAGGCCTCATTTTAGAAAATGTTATTAAATACTTTTAATTGGCCAATTAAGTCTCACTGTTGTGTCTCATGGGGTGATTACACTGTATCAGGAATCAATCATCAGCGATGCAATTTTATTTATTATGCTTATGCACTTAACCATCTCCTGGGGGAGACCTCAGGCAAGTACAGTGTTGTATGGAGACTTTCAGTGGGATTTGAAGAACAATAATATTATTTTATCCGGAAGGTTGGGGAAATGAAGGAGTTTTAGTATCCAAAAGTCATGCACTGCATGGACTTATATATGTCTGATTTAGGTAGTGTCATTAGGGCTTATTGTGTTTTAATCTGTTGTGTGCCTGTATAGGCGCCAGGAGGTACTCCTCGCAATTCTTGATGGGGATGTGCCACTGGTTCTTGAAACCCTGACCCTATTTCAGACTAAAAATTGCCACTTTTCCACATGCATTTTAAGACCCAAGCTCAGAAGTGAACAAGAATAAGCTGTGAAACTTGAATGATATGTTTTACTCGGTTCTCTGTCTTGTTAATTCAGTTTGGGTTGAAAACGTTTACATTTGTTTGTTTTACTTCCAAACCGGGTATAAACCATACTCGAGTTAAAACCATAATGTGAAATCCTATGCACATTTTAAGACCAAAACGACTTCAAAACCACACACTTAAGAGCGGCACATACCTATATTGCCTATATAGGAGAGTACCCTTCTCCCCCTCCACTGGACGAAAAAACGGATTTGCCTAAGTTTGCTAGTTGAGCAAATCTATTGTAAATTTAGGGTACTAATGTTGCTACTTATTTGTTCTTGGTGCAAATTTTGTTCGAAAGTGAAAGTTTACTTTTCTGCAGAGGTGGCGTAAATGTGGAGTAAATATCAAGTTTACAGATATTTCGTTTCACTTTTGCTCCCCATAGTAAATTTGGAGTTTAGATTCAAATTTGCCGCCATTTTGTTCTCTGTGTAAAAATCGAACGTCAAAAATGAATGTTTGCTTGAAATTTTCTGGCATAGCAAAGTTACTGTGTAAATTTATGGTTACAAGAGGCGCAAATTTAAGCAAAATATGATCAAAGAACTATCTTTACGACCACTTTAACCAACGTTTGCACATTTACCAAACTTCACAGCGTTATTTCTCGCAAGTTTTGATTTTCCATCGCCCCGTTTCAATCACCATCACATTCTTCTCAAAGTTTATCATATTAGTTGCTGCAGCTGGTTATTTCGGGTAAGGCTATTCCCCCTTTTTTTTCGTTTAGCGTCGAATGCGTTTCCTGATATTGTGTCGGTGGCGCGGAAAAAAAAAATATCACAAGAAGTCTCGGAATTTGGGTGAACAAAATGCACAATATGTGAAAGGTTTGAACCCAGGAGTCATTTCAATAGTAGATCACAGAGTTTCATCGTCCGGGTGAATGTAGTCCTGAATGCTCTCCGTCGCAAGATCAGCCGCCATGTTTGTTGTTTCCCAGGCTTCCACGTGACTTTGGCACATGCGCGATTTGATTTACATTGTCACGTGCGGCTTTTGAACCAATAGAATAGTGTAAAATAAACTTTCGTTGAACAGTTCAAATTCACGCGGACTTCACAAGCGATACAGCGTTGCAAAACGAGTAGTTTTGTTATTTTCGAATAATAGAAAGCCTGTCTTTCTATTCAGCTGTTCTATTACGATTTATACCTTTGTTATTTTCGAGAGACAGGGATCAGTTGCGATATTCTTCACATAAAGCCTGTTTCCAAGTCATCAACTCAGCTGGATTGCAGAAAGGTATGTTCTTCTTGATATCGTAGTTCGTTTACTTACTTTGGTTTTCTAATAACTTTGCGTAAGCTTAAAACCTCAAAGATAAATCTTGAAATTTAAGATGCATGCACAGATATGCCATTGACTGATTCATTTTCGTTTGCTGCAGAAATAACTGTACTCTTTGTTGCGCATCGTCTTCATTAATGGAATAATCTTAACTAGCCAGATCTTGAGCTGTGCAGGCAAACATTTCTTTTACACTAATATAAGTCGGTGATGTGACCTTAGCATGTCCATAATTCAGTAATTTGGCTTGTTGTACAGCTGAGTTAATATGTTAGATCTTTAAGGTTACTGTACTTTTCAGGTGACAGCACTTGACAAAGCAGTGGTCACTATAATTTATTATTTAATATTCTACTACATTTCAAATGACAAATGATTTTCCTTTTGAAATTTTTACAGTCAAAACTCTTGTTTTACATCTATACATAATTATGGTTCAGTGATATTGTGAAATCTTAATTTGGTTCATTTTGCAAGTGATGGCATAAGTTTGCCAGATCTTGAAGCATATGTGTCATTCTGAGTGACCATTGTATTATTGTTCCACATTTAAGTGACAAATGATTCTTATTTCATAAATTGTACCATCCAAAACTCTTATGGTTTATACATATGGTTCAGTGATACTGTGAGATCTTAATTTTGGTTCATTTTGTGAGTGACGGCACTTGCCAGATCTTGAAGCCTACAGTATGTGTCATTCTTAGTGACCACTGTATTATTGTTCCACATTTAAATGACAAGTGATTCTTCTTTCATAAATTGTACCATCCAAAACTCTCATGGTTTATACATATGGTTCAGTGATATTGTGAGATCTTAATTTTTTTTCATTTTGTGAGTGACCGCACCTGCCAGATCTTGAAGCCTATGTGTCCCTCTGAGTGACCACCGTATTATTGTTCCACATTTAAATGACAATTGATTCTTCTTTCATAAATTGTACCATCCAAAACTCTTATGGTTTATACATATAGTTTAGTGATACTGTGAGTTCTTAATTTTGGTTCATTTTGCGAGTGACGGCATATGCCAGATCTTGAAGCCTATGTATCATTCTGAGTGAGCACCATATTATTGTTCCACGTTTAAATGACAAGTGATTTTTCTTTCATAAATTGTACCATCCAAAATTCTTATGGTTTATACATATGGTTTGGTGATATTGTGAGATCTTAATTTTGGTTCATTTCGCGAGTGACGGCATTTTTTTCATTTTGCGAGTGAAGCCTATGTGTCATTCTGAGTGACCACTGTATTATTGTTCCACATTTAAATGACAAGTGATTTTTCTTTCATAAATTGTACCATCCAAAACTCTTATGGTTTATACATATGGTTCAGTGATATTGTGAGATCTTAATTTTGGCTCATTTTGCGAGTGACGGCATATGCCAGATCTTGAAGCCTATGTGTCATTCTGAGTGACCACCGTATTATTGTTCCACATTTAAGTGACAAGTGATTCTTCTTTCCTAAATTGTACCATCCAAAACTCTTATGGTTTACACATATGGTTCAGTGATATTGTGAGATCTTAATTTTGGTTCATTTTGCGAGTGACGGCGTATGCCAGATCTTGAAGCCTATGTGTCATTCTGAGTGACCACCGTATTATTGTTCCACATTTAAATGACAAGTGATTCTTCTTTCATAAATTGTACCATCCAAAACTCTTATGCTTTATACATATGGTTCAGTGATATTGTGAGATCTTAATTTTGGCTCATTTTGCGAGTGACGGCATATGCCAGATCTTGAAGCCTATGTGTCATTCTGAGTGACCACCGTATTATTTTTCCACATTTAAATGACAATTGGTTCTTCTTTCCTCAATTGTACCATCCAAATTCTTATGGTTTATACATATGGTTCAGTGATATTGTGAGATCTTAATTTTGGCTTATTTTGCGAGTGACGGCATATGCCAGATCTTGAAGCCTATATGTCATTCTGAGTGACCACCGTATTATTGTTCCACATTTAAATGACAAGTGACTCTTCTTTCCTAAATTGTACCATCCAAAACTCTTATGGTTTATACATATGGTTCAGTGATATTGTGAGATCTTAATTTTGGTTCACTTTGCGAGTGACGGCATTTTTTTCATTTTGCGAATGAAGCCTATGAGTCATTCTGAGTGACAACCGTATTATTGTTCCACATTTAAATGACAAGTGATTCTTCTTTCGTAAATTATACCATCCAAAACTCTCATGGTTTATACATATGGTTCAGTGATATTGTGAGATCTTAATTTTGGTTCATTTTGCGAGTGACCGCATATGCCAGATCTTGAAGCCTATGTGTCATTCTGAGTGACCACCGTATTATTGTTCCACATTTAAATGACAAGTGATTCTTCTTTCATAAATTGTACCATCCAAAACTCTTATGCTTTATAAATATGGTTCAGTGATATTGTGAGATCTTAATTTTGGCTCATTTTGCGAATGACGGCACTTTCCAGATCTTGAAGCAGAAGTGTCATTCCAAGTGACCACTGTATTACTGTTCCACATTATAAATGACAATACCTCATTATTTATACCTTTTGTACAGCTCAATGATGTTGAGGGATCTTTGTTAGTTCATTTTGCGAGTAAATGCTTTGGCTTTATCATGCCAAATAACCACAATTAATTAATTATTGTTCTAAGCAACATGTGGGTTACCTTAATGTTACGTTTCTCAGGTTCTGACCGGTTTTACGGTTTATGTGTACAGTTGAGTCGTGGCTGTGCTCTGTTAGAGCCTGGTGACCTGTGGGACACTATCAGTTCTGCTCTTGAATGACAGGGGAATTAATTTATTTCAGTTTTTATTTACACTTAAAAGAGTCTTAATGAAACAAATGCAGATTCAACAGAAAGAGGCATTTCTGCTCTCTACTTTAACACCTGTTCCAAAAAACATATTATATATTTAATGAAAATGTTAGTAGGAATAAAATGCAGGGAGAAATTTTTCTCACAAATATCTTCAACTGTTCCTTTGATTAAGAGAGTGTTTTCAGCTTTTAGCATCGTGTCATTGTTCTGCAACCCAATCATTTACACTGAGTATGAGCAGTACATGCTTGTTTACCAACTGTGGGTTACTTGTTGGCTGCTAAATCATGGCTCTTCATTTTTCTTTCAGAAAAAAAATTAAAGGGCCAATATGCTCTGAGGGAGTCAACTAGCATCAGTTAGTCAGACAAGGACAAGTACCGTGCATGTATGTCCGTTGCATATATGTCATCAGAGGAGTCTTTGTCTGAAACAGCTGTATCAGAGTGGCATGAAGGTAATTCTTCAGGTTCAGATGAGGACCTCCCAAACAGGGAAAATCTCTGTGTAAGGCCACTTTCCTGGCAGAGCATTGAGGTGAATGGTTTAATGGCCCAGTTGGACCGCAAAGTTGCATGGTGTCAAAGCCAATAATGGTAATAGAGCACACAGTGAGACCAGCATCAAACCAAGGAGCACCATCTTGAGTTTGCTCTGGCACCCACCACTTACAATAGAAAAAGGAACTTGATCATAAGCATAACACAGATAATTTTTTGAAGAACATTGAGAAAAGAAGAAGACATTTTAGATAAAAATGTACAAAATAATAATAACACTCAAGTTGAAGTTGACATGCATCATGATTCAGTTCCTTTTCAGTTAAGTTCCTAGAACAATATTTACTCAGTAGACAATTGCACAATTTTTGGAGTTTTGATGAAGACCTACAATGTAGTAAGTGAATATCCTTTGACACCCATGGGAAGGAGCCACGTTAAAACAAGGTAAATTACCAAATCTCAAAGTTATTTGTCACAATCCAATGAAGATCTTGCCTGTGTTGCAGACACTCTAAACCTTCTGTATAGAGCATGCCGTCTGAGAATTAGTGCACAATATCATGTTTGAATCCCACAGGGTCACAAAGACATGCATGTATGTCAGCGTTTTGTGATTGGCTAGGTTCTTACGCTGTTTGTGATTAGTACGATTTGAAATAAAGTGTTGACACAAAGTCACATAATCTCAATGACCTTTGTATGGTATGGTAGAGCCACAAACTTTCCCTTACCAGACAAATGTCTGCAAAATTTGCCATCTTTGCAGAGCTGTCCTTGTTAGTTTGCACCGAATCACTCTGTAGTTTGGCAACTTTACTGAATTTTAAAAACCTTCCATCTAGTAGCCTGTAAATGCAGCTGTCTTTTCAGTCGCTGTGTCCATTCACCCAACATATGTAATTGGAGATACACCTGCATCCACTTTCCACAGTGGTGACAGATCCTAGGGCTACGCTAAGCACTGCCTTAAAAAGTGCCACTCCAAGGACTAAATCTAGCCAATACACCCCATAGTAGAGTAATTACTTGACTCCAAAAGCCATGATCCTATTTTGTTCTTGGCATATTTTATGAAAAAAGAGTGCAGTTATGTTTTATGCAAAAAAAAAATACCGTGTGTGATAACAGTTTTTTGATAAGCATGGCTTAAATTTTAATCAAATGCATGCCAATAACAATAATAATGATGATGAATTAAAGAAGTTCTACAGAGCTTTCATAGTGTATAGATTGTGTTTGGATATTTAATCAGTCCAATACTGCAAGCAAAACAGCTGATCATGTGAATCAGAAAAAAATTGCTCAAATTTTTAGCAAATAATTTGATTCTAGTAAAAAAAATAAATGTAATAAATTATTTATGGTCATATAATAATACAAGAATTTCACCAAATCATATTATTTACAGTGATATTATAATAATAATAATAATAATAATAATAATACAAGTATTTAACCAAATCAGTGGATAGATGTACATGCTAAAAAGGTGACAAAATTAACCTTATAAGTGTTTACTGTTGGGTAAAAAAATATAAAAGTCGTACCCAAATCATAGAAATGCACAGAGCTTTCGCATAGTAACTCATTTTATTTACAAGAAATATTTTTATATAACTGATTTGGTTAAAAATGAATCATACAGATGTATCTCCCCTTGGGGTAAGTGAATAGCACTAGGTACACTATATATAATATTATTCACTGCCTATTTTGGGTAGTGGATAATATTTGTCAGATGAAAACAAGTTCTTATAAATAATAATTAGAGGAATATCGCTTATCATAATAATTTGAGGCTAATTTTATTTCCTGTGGTTGATGTTCTGTCCATTAGTAAGGATGTCACATCTACATTGGGAGTGATGTGTACGTGTTGTCATCGTACAACCATTTGCCAATAGTATCAATTGAATCTAGAAAGAGTATATTTGAAGTATACCACTCAAATGGAGTTACGTTTTACCTGTACCAACCTTAGATAATTATGAACCAGCTAGTGTTGACTTGCACTTTCAAACTCAATGTACATTCTTATACACTTATGAATTTAGATAGTTTCACATTTTATGTGCCTTTTATTTAAAGGCATATATTTTGTGGTACATGCAGTGCCCTGCAGAGGCCAATGGAACTTTCTTTTAATTTATCTTGCTTTTTATTGTACAGTGTATATTAAGGATAATAAAGTCATTTTATTCTTGAAATTTTGTTTGGTGTGTAAATTGTTTGTCAGTAATTTATTGTACCAAATAAAAATAAGAAACATGTGGATAATGATGTTTTGATCAAATTTGCTATCTTGAGTGAAAGTGTAAAAAAGTGATATTTTAATCAACTTTGTTTACCTTACTGAAAGTATGGAAAACTGCTATCATGGCAATATTTGCCATCTTGAGCAAAGATGCAGAAGAACTGATATTTGATCAACTTTGTTACAATGGGGAAAAGTATGGGAAACTACTGTTTTGATCATATCTGCCATCCTGAGCAAAATTGAGAATAAAGTGGTATTTGGCCAAATTTGCTACCCAGAGCAAAACAGTGGCAAACGCCTATTTTGATGATATTTGCCACACTGAGCAAAGATACGGAAGAAGTGATAATTTGACCTCATTTACTACACTGGGCGATACACAAATAAAGTGAATTTTTGCTCAGATTTACTATCCTGGGTAAAACTGTTGAAAAATGAGTTTTGGTCACTTTTGCTACATTGAGCAAAAATGTGGCAAATTACTACTTTGACCGAATTTGCTATAGAGAGCAAAAGCATTCAAAAATTCATCTTCGATCGCTTTTGCCCATTTGGGCAAAAACCTGACAAATGTCAGTTTTGCTATCAAGTTTGACACCCCTGTAAATGCCTTGATAAAGTAAAGGTTATCCTTGTTTTTACACACGGGGCAAATTTGAGGCAAATTCGGCATTTACCATCTTTGCCACTAATGCAAAATTATGGCAAAGTTGGTCCTATGTCATGTGGCAAAATTGACCAAAATTAAGCAAATGTGGCATTTGCAGATGATTTGCTCCGGATTTGCTATAGGGGTAAATCCGTTTTTTCGTCCAGTGCTCCTTGTATAGTCTTACCACACAGACTGAAATGGTTGCCACTATTGTTATAGACATTCTGTAAGTGCTAATCCAATCCCTAGTGGTACTTCATATTAGAAGCAAGACCACACAGTGACAATCAAGCCATGTGGCAAGTTGAAAAATCAAAATAATATTGTTGAAAAAACGCGTTCCCAATTATCTTTTTGTTATTATATTGTATTGTTCACAACAAATGAGAATAATTTCACAGTTAAAAATGTAATTTACATGATCAAACTTTACTTCTGTTAGTCAAGTCAAGAAAGCTCTATTATGGTACCGTTTTGTACTGTGGAGTGTTTTCATGTTGCTCAACATGATCCCCCTCTGGGAGGGGGATTTGATTGCTTGGACAACCCCATAAACAGCATCTTACACTAACTTCGTTTGCTTCCCTGGGTTTCCCTAAGAGATGGGTAGTGATAGTGCAGTACCTTGAACTCAGACTACTGTCAATCCTACATAATATCAGTGAAACCGAAAGGTTATTGTTTTTGGTGGGAGGGTGATTGAGTTCCACATTAAATCACTTAACTATTTAAAAAAGAGGATGAAACAAGTGTCCTTTGCTTGGTACATAATGTAGTGGGAAGGTTTTCCCCCTCAAATGTTCTCAATTGTTACAATGAACATTCTTTTTCATCTCTAGTCCTTGCTTTACGGGTTCAAGGTGACTGTTATGTAGTGTTTATTTAAGGTAAATTATATGACAACACACAGACAAATCAACATGTTTATTAACCTATATAACTAACAGTAACAAAACATTCCTTGAAGAAAGGAGTGTCTTAGGACACTAATCAATGATGCTGGTCACTAAAACTGTCATACTTAATATTAAGCAAGCTCCTATGAAAAAGTATTTTCCTTTCAAAATAAGAGGAGTTGCAAAAAGTATGTATCTCCACCCTTGGCAAATATCTGACCCACAAAATAATAACAAAAATGACATTGTCAGTGAAAAACTTTAAATTCAATTTCTTCAAAAATGTTAAGAATAACATATCTTTACTTGCATTAATGAAGACAACTCAACTTACTAAATTTGGTGACTTTTTGATAACATAAATCAATAAAGCAATCTAGGCTTGTAACTCTAAACCATTTTACTTTTTGCCAAAGTAACACTGCGAGAATGCCAAGTCATACAGGGCAAACAGTCTCTGGGTAGAGGGCAAAGGCAATGCATCAGTCGGTCTTGGAACCTGAAGCAAATTGGTGCAGGTATGAGCTATAGGCAGGAAGCCACCCTCCACATTTGGGTGTTGCCCTTCACTAAGTCCTTGCTGACTTGTAACTTTCAATTCTGTGGGTAATATGAACTCCAACGACGGAGCAAGCGTAAAACCAAGGACAGGTTCCTCTGGTGAACCAGTGGAAAATTGAAGAATATGACTCAAATTAAGGGTAGTCTTTCCACATACCCTCCTGGAAGCTGCTACTTCACGAACATATCTAACAAAGAGTTGATAAACTTCTTTTTCCTTTTTACATAACATAACATAACATAACATACATGTTTATTCAAACTCATAATGACCACATGAATTTGAAAGGGAGAGTCTAGAGGTTAACCCTATGAATAAAACTCTCCTAAAAACAACACACAATAAAAATTACAATAAAAATTACAATAAAAATTACAACTTTAAAAAAAATTTGAGTTTACATTTAAAAAGTTCAAGGGAACCGGCTTCAACAACATTACTAGGTAAATTGTTCCAGTAACTAATTACATTGTTAAAAAAAGAATATTTAAAACAGTTGATTCTAGATAATTTACAATAAAGCTTATACGAGTGATTTGCCCTAGTGGATTTGACTTTTGCGAATTGAAAGAATTCCTCAAAATCCAAGTGTGATAAGCCAAACACGATCTTATAACATTCAACAAGAGAGGAATATGTCCTACGACTGGACAAAGATGGCCAATGTAACGAGTCACAACGCTCTTCTTTTTTGCCTAAGAGCTAATCTTGACGCGCGTCTTTGCACGCTCTCTATTGCATGAATATCTTTGACAAGATATGGGTTCCAGACTGGAGCAGCATACTCTAGAAGTGGTCTGACCAATGTTTTGTAAAGCAATGAAAAAGTTGTTGTATTAGCTGTTCCAACAGACCGTCTTATTAGCCCTAGGACTTGGTTCGCCTTATTCACCATGGTACTAATATGTTCACTCCAAGTAAGATCTTTTGATATAATAATTCCAAGATCTTTAAAGCTCTTGACATCTTTTAAGGCCGTACCTAGTTTATAATTCGTAGTCGATTTGTCACGAGAATGCGTTATTCGCATTGCTTCACACTTTTCCTCATTGAAACGAAGTTGCCATTTTTTCGCCCATTTACCAAGATTGTTCAAATCAGTTTGAAGGTATTGTTCATCGAGACTAGGGTTGCGAAGCTCTCTGTAAATCTTAGTGTCATCCGCAAATAATTTAATTTTTGAAGAGACACTATCAACGATATCATTTATATATGATAGGAATAAAATTGGACCAAGAATAGTTCCTGTGGGGTACCAGATATCACAGGTGCCCAATCAGAAAAAGTCCCTCTTACAACAACTCGTTGCTTTCTACACGTGAGGAAATGCCTCAACCAGTTAAGAAGTTTACTCTCAATACCGAGGCTATATAACTTTATGAGTAGACGCTCATGAGGAACACTATCAAAAGCCTTTGCGAGATCAAGAAATACAACATCTGTTGCTACAGATGAATTCCTAGATTTGGCGAAGTCATGAAAAGTAGAGAGTAATTGGGTCACAGTAGACCTACCCTGCAAAAAACCAAATTGGTTTTTGTTTATCACGTTATGGTCTTGCCAAAATGACGTTAACCTATCGCGTACGATTTTTTCGCTGATTTTGCATATCATGGATGTAAGCGAAATTGGACGATAATTCTCCCTCAAATGTTTAGAACCTTTCTTATGAAGTGGGACAATGTCAGCTGATCTCCAATCTTCGGGCAAATGGCCCAGCAGGAAAGATTTGTTAACCAGAAATGAGATCGAGGGCGCCAATTCGAACGCACATGATTTTAAAATTACTGGTGAAATTCTGTCTGGACCCGGGGACTTGTTCGTTTTAAGAGACTTAAGATGCTTTAAAATTTCCTCAGTAGTACAGGAAATATAATTAAGTTTCTCACAAACTAAAGGCTCTAAAGAGGGCAAGTTGGTGAAGTCCTCGGAGGTAAAAACAGATGAAAAATAGGAATTAAAACTACTAGCAATACTCTCATCGTCAATCAGTTCTTTGTCACCAACCTTTAAAGATACCAGAGTGTTCGTACCGTTACGTTTGCTTTTAATATAATTCCAGAAAGGCTTGGAATTACCAGAAACTGCAATATCAGAGGCCATATTGTTGATATACGTCCATCGAGCTAAGTTACATTCTCTTTTCACGACATTGTTCAGTGTTCTGTACTTCTCCCAAAGGGCTGGATTGCTGCTTTTTCGCGCTTTGTTATACAACAATTTCTTTTTTCTGCACAACCTAATAAGATCCTTTGTTATCCAAGGTGCATTACATTTTTTCTTGCCCCGGCGCACGGGTATGCATTCATCCATAGCCGTAAATAAAAGATCTTTCCAGCAAGACCAGTTGTATTCAATGTCATCATCGAAAAAAGCACAGTTCCAAGGAATGCAAGCCAATAACATCTTTAGGTGTGCCCAGTCAGTTTTGCCATATGAATAGAAACATTTCCGAGATTTACGCTGGGTGTAGGGTGATCTTAAGATCTCAAAACTAAGAGAGTTATGGTACATTAGACCCCTCCTCTGAAAACTGTGTCTTCAAAATGTGAAGCAGCATTTGCACTCCAAGCTTCTGCTGTCCTTGAGGTCTCAGGAGATGAATCAACATTGGCAGCTCCTAAAGGGCTGATAACATTCCCAGCACTTCGAGACCATGTTGAAGTTTGGCAACACAAGGATCCAAACACACGCCTTCAGAAACAATTTGCTGCAGAATATCCTCCTCTACAAACAAAGGCAGCTGGCCATTTTGAAGCATGGCTATTGCCATCATTATTCCAACATTAAAATAATCTTCTGCCAACAATGGCCTTCAACCATGGTCAAAGTATTTTTGTTTTATGGCTTGGTTCATTAATCTTATCCATTCTTTTCGTGGCCCGCCATAATCTACACATTCCTCTCCCATAAAGTCCACTTGGAATGTCAGTCTGTAGTTGGATATATATTGAAGTTCAGCAAATGTTGTTTCTAGTATATTGTCTCTGTCGACTGTTATGTAATTTGTTTCTCCTTCAATGGTGTCTTCTGAGCTTGTGACTTGTAAGGGTCTTCCCGTTACTATCTCCTTCTGTAGATATTTCAGCACCTCTACGGGGTCACTCAACTGTCCCTCTTTAGCACCCCTGATGATCGAGTTAATGTTCAAAGAACTCGATTGTGACTGACTCTCATTGGCATTGAGTGTTGAACTTTCGTTTGGATTAGAGGATTCAGTGCCATTTGCTGAGTTTTGACGACACAATCGTTCTCCATCTGGAGTATCGGTCAAGTCTATACACAAGCCTGGATCACCCGGATCACCTGTGTCTTCAACAGCAAAAGGAGAAACAAAAAGTTTTTTATCACTAGGATCCATGAAAGAATCTGGTAGCTCCTCTAGCAGTCTAAGATATACCCATCCTGACGGGGCAATTGATTTGAGTAGAAGCTTAGCATCAATGTCTTTTCCTGCAGGGAGATTTGGTCTTATCAGGGTGCCGCCACTATTCTTGACGATTTCAAAATACAGTCCCTCCATATAACCTGGTAGTAAACGTGATATTTCGTTGTGAAGTGTTTTGGCATCCCACTTTCTATTGATGTCAAAACCCGAAATGATTCTGCCGGATCTTTCCAATTCAGCTTTCTCGGATTTTGTTGGTATTTTCTCTCCCCCAGCTTCCAAAATCCAAGATTACAATATCTTTCGAGACTGTTTCAGACGTCAATGGTCTCCCAACTGTGCGTCTTACGTTAGGATACGGTCGGAAAGTATTGGATCTTTCATACCTTCCTGTTGCAGCATTCCTGCTTGACCTTGCTGAAACGGTCGGCATTAGATTCTACCCACCAAAACCACATCGATCGAGAGGGACTGAGATTGACTTTTGGACACCTTGGGCGCTTTCCATTTAGTCAAAATTTCCGGAATTTCCGGTTCGGCGGTAAATGGAACATGTTTCGTCGGTTCGTCCCACTGGAAAATTCCCAGAAAAAGTGGAAAATCTGAAAAGGTGGTGCCGTTTTCCCGGTTGGAATTTCCGAACGGAATGTCGTGTTCCATTGACGTTTCTTGTAGTTTGTACCAGTTCCAGGTCCACGGTCGGGCACCCGGCCACGTACCGGGGTTTACGACCAAATGGAACAACTTTTTACCAATTGGAAATTCCACTTTTGCTACCACCGAAATTTCCGGGTTTTTTTCGTAAATGGAAAGCGCCCCTTGTGACATGTTATACCAACGAAAGATGCCTACGATGTTTTGACATATTCACCTCCCGGGGATTCGCCTTTCTTTTGCTTTGGGCTTAATAATATTTGGGAGATCGAGTTCTCGCCAACAAAGGGTGAATATAACGAGTATAACTGTATTTTGGCAAATATTGTACGTGAAGTTTTAAAATATGTTTCAGATTTCATGGGTCTACGTGATACACATCTAGCACCGAACACTGTCGGTGGTTTTGGTGGATGTTGAAGTCTACATCCACCAAAACCAGTCAGGGTTTTAATTTTTTTAGGCGCATAGTTACGCTTCTGCAAAGTACTGACGGACTTTTTTAAGACCATACTCATAAAGCATAATAATTATTGACACAAACAAAATTGTAATCATGGTTTTTATATAAGTTGTTATTATTTACACATACAAACTATTTTATTTTCTTATTATTATTTATTATTTCTTTAATGTGCACTTGTGAGCAGCACACTTACACTTCCAGTGAACATTTTCACTTGGGAGAAGGAGAAACCATGCTTGCCCGGGGCAACGAAAATTTTCGTGCCCCGGGCGAGAGTCGAACTCGCGACCTTCCAAATCCCATCATCAGTCCCGGGAAACAAACAGGAACATCATGGCGGGAATTTTAAGTTACGAACCCGCGTTCGATGGGAAAATTGCTGCGAATTTTGGATATGTTTCTGAAGTTCAAAAGCCAACTGACGATTGCGTTTTTCGCTGCCGTCAATCATCTTAACGGACCTCTTAGGAAACAAGACTTTACTTTAATGGGTTCAAAAGGTCAAGTTTTGTGATTTGTGATTGGTGGATTTCGATCCGTTTTGTGTTTTTCTGTGTTTCAAGGTTCGTTGCTTGTGGTCGTAATTATGATTGACGGCAGCGAAAAACGCAATTGCGAAGGCGGCTTTTGAACTTTAGAGTTCGCATGTTTGTGAAAAGCGCAGTAAAGCTGTATTATGTACATTCATAAGTCTCAGAAATTTAGAATTTTGGAGGTCAATATATGTAGACTGGAATGCTAAAATCCATGCCGGAAAGAAACTTCTTCTTGCAGGGGTGGGGGAGTATAAAGCTCGCGGTATTTACACCTAGCTATATATCCTGGTTCCAGAGGTTGTTCCTGATTTTTCTCCACGTGAGAAAGAACGAGCACTTACCAGCGAGCTTCGCGATTCGTTCTCGCCGCTCTTTGCTCGTTTCCAACATCTTACTAACATCTCAGTCATTATGTATGAAACTGTATCCCCTGATATGTTTTCTGCACCCCCACGTGAAATGAACGCAGCCTTTCTCGAGCCTTTCTCTTTCTTTCAGCTCCCAGTATAGAAGTGTAGTACACTCTGCTGGTATAGTAGAATTCCGACTTCACTAACGCTAGAGCCCTAATGGTTCAGTGGCTAGAACGTCCGATCTAGTATTCGGATGTTCGGTTGTTCGTGCATATCATCCGTACATTTTCCGAGAATCTTCGGTTACGACTTTTAAGTTATTCAAAATTTAATCTCAGTCCCTCTCGATCGATGTGGTTTTGGTGGGTAAAATCTAATGCCGACCTGCTGAAACTGTTGGGAATCGCCTTCGTAATTCCTCCAAAGCAGTACCAGCTCGTGGAGTCGCTACTTGCAGCTCGTTTGAAGACGTTTATGCCGCTGTTGGCCTTTGTTCTACTAGCGAAACAAGCTGTTGGATGTGGCTGATTGCAGTGCTAGCAATGGACTGAATAGAACCGGGATCGTTGTTGGAATGGTTTGAAGACGCCATGTTTGTTTCAGAAAGCACATTGGCAAGAGCTTCGCCGCAGAGGCTTATGGGACATTTGCCAAAACTACGAAAAAATAATTATGACTAAGAAAAAAATAATTCTCGAATGGAAAAAATTAAATTATTATTATATTATGAGTTGCGTAGGACAAAATCAATTAATTATCCAAAAAAAATTATTATAGCAGACAAAAAACTAATCCGCAACCGTAACATAATTTGTGTAATGGACAAAAATAATTTCAAAGAAGCGTAATAATAAAGACGGCACATAAAAAAATTAATTCCTGGTGAGGAAAAAATAATTGTGACGCATGGAAAAGTTAAAAAGAACACGAAAATAATTACAAACAGACAAAATATGAATAGCAGGTACTCATCAAATTAATTCATCAAGAGGGAAAAATTAATCATGCAATTTTGACCAGAACGGGCCTTTATACTGCAGAACTTCAGCCGAAAAAACATCGTTTAAATTTATTGAGTTGAAGGAAAAGATGGGCCTTTGAGGCAATAAATTCCAAAGTATTAGCTATGGATTAGCATAACAAAGAGGAAATACGTTTATATTATCGTTGTCATTATTATCATACTTAGCCAAGACGCCTGATATCCAAGAAGTGTAGACTTTGCATAGTTCTCACCCTCTGTTAACAATTGCATTTTCCGTCGAGGGACTTTTTTTTAAAAGCTCTTCGGTATCGCTCCCAGAGCTATATTTTGTTTTATGACTAGTATTATTATTATTATCATTATTATTATTATTATTATTATTATTATTACTTATCCCAGTAATAAAAATGTGTTTGGACCTTAAAGCTTTATTAACACCCAACCCCAAAAATGTCTGCTGAGAATTAGCATAACAAAGAGAAGCCTAGAGGAAAACGTTTATCGTAACTGTTTAGACCTCAGATGGCTTGTTACCATTGACGGCTCGTGCACAATATGAGTTGAAATGACTCGGGTTGAATAAAAAAAAAAAACTTCAACTTCAACATCAACTTTATTTCATAAGAATATGAATTAGTAATGTTTGATGCAAATACTAGCAGATTAATAGACAAGCATTTAGATAATGCATATAATCTTCTTGCCTGAAAATATTTTGGCGAACTCGGAGTCCAAGCCTGTAAAAAGGACAATTAAAATTTCATGAAAATGCAGAGGATTTTGCTGTATAGAGCAAGTTAGCGTAAATAATCTAACAGACGCCCACTATCAAATAAACGCCTCTTTTCTGACTAGTAAGGTCTAGTAATAGTTGACACTACAGCTGCCCCGGTCTGTATGTTGTCGGTCAATAGTATTCTTGGTCGTTGTGTAGCTCTTTGAAATGTACCTTTTCATAATGAAGATTTTCACACATATTCCATACGACAGGCGAGATAAATACAGGAAACACAAAAACAGGTTCCATGCACGGATTCAGTTCGATTCACCCCCTCCCCCCTCCCCCCTTGGCAAAACATTCTCAGTTTCGAGAATTTATTCTAAACCATAAGAAAAGATTTGATTCGAAGTTGGAATTTTTCGCTATTTCTCTTTCACTTTTCACATACAGTTCATTTTATTAACCGCAAAGTAAGCCTTAGAAATTAACAGGTTTGACCAATTCACGC